TTATTTAATAAAATCTGATGAAAAAACAGGTCCAATTGTTGTAGTTTCTTTTTTTATTTATGACTCTATTTCAATGCTTTCTTTAGTTATTATGGTTTATTGCTTATATAACCTTTTAGCCCAGGTTGTACAGACTTCAGGGATATAAATCATTTAAAGATAAAGACGTCACAATAAGCACGTTGCAGTGTAGACACGGCTGGACTGAGTTCGAAGGGTTCAGACAGACTATAATCTGATAACGTCTCAAAGTGCCACACGATCGATCCCTTCCAGCTCCTGCGACCTGCGTGTGTCCTTACCTGGGCTGGGCTCAAAGGTTTCTATAACCATGTCCCCCATTGCTCTGCTACCGATGTGCTGGTGCAGTACAGCCGCTCTCTCCAGATCCGTCTTCCCACTCAGAGTGTGTTTGGCTACACACAGAGCTTTCTCCTGTAGTTCCTCATCTGACATGCCTTCTGCAGAGACAGGGCACATGTGTCAGTTAATCCCAGTGCCCCTCTCAGACAGCAGTCAGAGTAAAACACGTTGTAAAGCAATGTAAAGAGACATATATGGAACACTGGAAAGAAGAAAGTAAAAGTCGATCCGAATGTTATCTGAACCTAAAGAGAGATCATGAGTGGGCAGAATATCTCTGTTATAACTGTCAGAGAGAGAAAGAAGATCCAACCAGGTAAAATCTCACCGACAACAAACTGGAAACTGAAACCAAAAGAACATGTGGTCACTGTTTGTGGTTTATTTTAACAAATTAAACTCTGTAATCGCAGATTTCAACCAATTTAATGACGACTCACAATTAAAAATAACCCTAGGAGAAGGAAACACTTAAATAAAGTCGTATTGTAACACAGGAGTTATAATTTAAAATATTGTAATTTTAGGAAAACTGTGACATTATAAAGGAACACACATATTTAAGTTTAAAAACATTTACTTACAGTCGCTTTAACATCCAACAACACAAACAATCTGATCATAAAACCGAATATCATGATATAATAATCGATTACACACCTTCAAAAGCTCCTCACTTATGTTTCTACTTTATTTTAAGTTATTAAATTAAAATCAAATCAAGTTTATTCACACAGCAGATTGAAAAGAACCAGAATACATCTGTAAACAACAACATATATATATATATTTATAAATATAAAGGCAGTAACAGATTGTAAGAACAAAATATAAAATAAAATAAATGTCTTTATTTTCCTGCTGTTACATTAACTTTGTAATGTTGTAATTGAATTGTGTGTGAGCCGAAGAGTGTCTCAACATCAGGGACACACATTCCCCACAGCTGCTGTCAGTCAATAATAATCAATAATCAATAATCAATAATCAATAAGTCAATCAATCGGGGGGGTTGTTTATTAAACTCACCCGCTGAATACTGGAAACCCCGAGGACACGGAGACTGGTCGGCTAATTCCAGACGGATAACGACCAGAGACACACTCATGTGTACACAGAACAAACAAAAACAAACAAACAAACAAACAAACAAACAACCCGGTGTGACAGCTAGCACGTCCAGCTAGCAGGCTAATCGGCTATCGGCTGACTACGGGTAGCCGTTAGAGGCAGTGAGAGCAAACAGTCCCGGTTCGGTGGCGGCAGTGTGTCAGTCGTACACACCGCCGACCACAAACACAAACACAAACATTATATTTGTGTTTTGAGAGTTAATGCACTGTTTCTGTGGGAGGCTACGAGCTAGCTGGCTACCTTCGCTACCTGCTCACAGCTGTTTCTAGCTTGTTGCTCTTCTTCGTGGGCGGAATGAAAGCAGCGGTTATTAACCTTCCGGTGTGTTGCTGCCGCCTACAGGCACTCAGTGTGTACTGCACCCGTTTAATTATTAGAAAATACATTTAAAATCAACAAATTAATAATAATAATAATAATAATAATAATGATAATAATAATAATAATACTGCTAATAATAATACTAATAATAATGATAATACTAACTACTACTACTACTACTACTACTATAATAATAATGATACTACTACTACTAATAATAATAATAATACTGCTAATAATAATGATAATACTAATACTACTACTACTAATAATAATAATAATAATACTATTAATAATAATAATAATAATAATAATAATAGGTTTCTCGTATTAAGGACATACATTTACCTATAAATTAAAGTACATTGTTATTTAGTTGTTGGTCAGATAAATGTATGGAAGCAAAGAAAGGCCAAAAGAATTTTAAACTTAAGCAACTGAATTGTTGAAATTGAATTTAAATTAAACAGAATTTATAGCATCAACATATTCTACTTTGGAAATTATCAATATGAATTTATGTTTTTTTTTTAATTCCCTGAAATGTGCAGTAGATAATTTAAAAAACATTTTAATGAAGGACTGTGGTTCTGTAGAGAAGTCCTGGCCTACAGATCTTCTCCAGATGTTAAGAGAACGTGTTTGTTTGGTACAGACCCAAACAAATAAATCACATATTTAAGCTTTTAAGATGTTAATACGAGATTCATTAATATCTAATGTGTCTTTTTATGTTGTATTTATGTGAAAATTTAAATTGTGATGCAAAACTGATCACTCCCAATAATCGTGAATCATATCGTAATCACAATATCTGTCAAAATCATTCCAATATGATTGTTTTCAATCATATCGTGCAGCCCTATTTTAGTGCTATAAATTCAGCGAAAGGCGAAATTTCAACAAAACTTAAATAAATTAATTCACTTCTGTATAACTGGGAGTCCGTCAACAGCAACATCAGAACCAACTGACAAAATATGTTCTGTTCCTCACACTAGAGAAACTAAATGATTAAGAACATAACTTTCTGTGGCTGAAATCAACAATTATTGTCTCGTTATCAACCGTTTTTGTGAATAAAATGAAAGAAAACAGTGAAAACTTCCCACAGCTTTTCAGCACACGACGCCTTCTTCAAATTACTGTGTTTGACCCAACAGCTAAAGCTCAGTGAATATATCACATACGACAAAAGAACAACAAATCCTCACATCGGAGCAGCTGCAGTCAATGTTGGACTGAAACAATTCATGAATTATTGATGTAGCTGAAGATTAATTTTCTGTCTATGAACTGAAAGAAGCTCAACAACAGGGGTCTCAAACTGCTGCCCCAGGGACTATTTCCAGCCCTCCAAATATAATATAATTATATTAGATATAAATATTAGATTATTTCATTTATTTTCTAGTTGTTTCATATTATTATAAATTAACCCTTCATATACACAGTTTGTTTGGTGCGTTTGAGACTCCGACTCGACAACCTGAAAAAACAAACAAATCAAAACATTTCACAAACCAAATTCTCACATTTACTTTTTTTTTATTTAAAAAAAGCTTTTGACATTCCAGTGTTTCTGTTTTCCATTTTCTAACAAAAGAAGGTGGTGAGATGACACTCCAGATTGTCAACCATTATTCTGAACCTCAACAATAACAACAACAACATCGACAACAACAACAACAACACGTAGTCAGATCACAAACATCTTCTCTCTCTCCGGCCGCGGATCCATTCAAACAGACGGGCTCGAGTCTTCAGGAAAAAAAAGGCATTTATTAGCAGTAAGTGTGTGCGATTGTATACAAGACTAACAGGACTCGCCGTTCACTCACATTTTCACATTGCTCTGCCAAATTCTTAATAAAATAGTAAAAGAAAAAAACAAAAATAATCCAACTGCACACTACCTGCAGTGCCAGCAGTCGTCCATCAGTGCTGCGTGGTGATCTGTGTAAACTATGTCACTGTACGCTCGTCTCTCTGGGTCAGTTCCTCATTGGTTGTTATTATAGAAGATGCTCTTTTTGTCACAAACTGAGGAGATGCTGAAGCTGATGAAATTGTTTTGGTTCATTAGATGTTTCTGGGGGTGGGCGGGGCTTTGAAAAGGGGGGGATAAAGCGGGAATGACAAAAACATGAACACAGGACAAATCTCATAATATCTACTGCAGCTGCTTTTTAAAAACACACTAATGTCCGTTCACACCGTACTTTCTGTAAAGGCTGCCTCAACTTTTTATTTTATTTACAATTAGGTCCAATGTTTGTCTGTGAAACACAAACCTGTCTGGGTTCGCCAACCCCCCCAGACCATGAATATATTCTACAGAGCTGCTTCTTGGCTGAAAATAACTGCCTGTACAATCAGATCTGGGTCAAAGTAAACAAAATCCTCTCAATGTTCTGCTCTAGATTGAACCAGAAGACGCGTCCTAGCTCCTGTAAAGTGTCATTTCGCCACCTACAGACATGATTATCCATGAAAAAAGTTATGATTTTAAGGCTGCTAGAAAGTCTTTCCGAGCCTGCAGTGCCAGGAGCATCGTGGGTGATTGGAGTTGCTTTTGGTGAACATCCATTTTAAAGATATTCGCACTTAAATAATTACAATCAGTTCAGCCTTAAAGGATTCTGATTATTTGATCCATGCCTGATTTTTAAAATGTTTTTATATACGTGTGCTGGAACAACCCGATTCCACATTAATAGACATGTTTACAAGCACCACTTCTACTAGTAGTAATTTAAAAAAAGGAAAAGAAAATAAAGAATAGCGGCAGATAATTCATATTTAAAAAAAAAAAAAAAAAAAGAAGAGTCCTGGTTATTTAACTCATCCCACCGCTGCTCTTTATAATACTGCAACTACAGGAGGTGGGTCCACTTTCAGTACCAAAGCGACACACGAGATACACAAAGCAAAAAGAAAAAAGAAAAGAGGAGAAGACTAGAGAATGAAGGAGAAACTTCAGTCTGCAGGAGTCCATGTTTCCACAGAGTGCGTCAGTTCAATGCAAAAAGGTTGTGCTCGTTTCTCTCTCGACGGAGAGAAACAGCTGGAAAAGCAGCACATTGAAAGAGCTTTCCTCCTTAGTGTTAACAGTCCCAGTGTGTGTGTGTGTGTGTGTGTTGACCAGAAAAACAAACTGAGGAATAAAGAGGAAACATAACTGAACAGAATAGTGGTTTATTGTCTTATATTGTTGTGGTAGTTGCTCTTTACTATATACAATAATTTATTAGATTCATCTAAAACTGCTTATTCATTTTTACCTAATTTTATATTTAAATGAGCATTTGTATGTGTTTTTTTTTTCCCCCTCTCCTTGTTTCCACTTATAGCTGCTGTATAAATTCATGAGTTTTACTTTACAAGCTTGTGTGCTATAATTATTATTATTATAATAAGAGTTGCAAATGTCCCAGAGGTGTGTGTTGAAAAGTGAAAAAGAAAAGTGAAAAGAAAAAATTCCAGACTTGAGAGCTCACAAACACTGGGTGAGAGAGACGCAGGAGGAAGGGAGGTCGTCAGTAACGGCGGTGCGCTCGGGGGGGGGGGTTTGTCGGAGCAGCGGGGGACAGTGGGGACTCGTGGGTTAGCTGGTGGGCTGACAGACGGTGGCGTTTGGGGGGGCTGATGGGTGTGTGTGTGTGTGGGGGGGTATAGTCGTCTTTATTTGGGGCGTGTGATGGTGTTCAGATCTTGAGGTTCTTTATAGTTTCCGCTCTCTTCTTGAGCAGATCTCCCACCTCCTGTAGTGAGCGCAGGTAACTGCTCTGCACCTTGTCCATAGCAGACTTCATAAACGAAGCTTCATCCTGAAACAGAGCAAAGAGGGAATCTCACAGTCAGATAATCGATATCACACCAAATTCTGGTGTAGCTGCACATCAGCTGGAGAGAGAAACTCCCTCCAGACAGCGACAAGAAACATTAAGGAACAGCTTCAGTGCAGAGCTGTTCAACTGGCAAGCATATACACTGGATTTCATTTAACAACTATAACGTACTTCAAGTACACACTGCACACCATTACTATTATTAAGTTATTTGATTAAGTATCAGTTTGGGAGTCTGTATTGGAAGATATTTAATATTAGTTTGGGACATCCCTAAATCAAAGTGTAAATAAAGTTAATTGGCCAAAAAAATCAAAGATGGACAGAAGATTTATATTCTACTCTGTGTACTTTTGGTGATTTGAAGGGAGGAAGGGAAAAGAGAAACTAACCTGTGGGTATCCTTCCAAGCTTAAACTGGCCAGTTTAAGGGCCGTCACGCCAGTCTCCTGCCCCTTTATGTGGTCCAAAGCCTGGGTGAGCAGGTCCTGCAAGCCCCCCGTCAGCTCCTGGAACCCACAAACCACCGCTGGCTGCAGGAGACACAAACCATCAGCGGAGGGTTCCCATTAAAACGTGCTGCTCAGCTCAGACTGAACTACGTATACTGGATGTGTGAGAGGATTCAAACCGTACCAGGGCTGTGTTTGTATCCTTTTTCTTCTTCTTTTTCTTCTGTAGACTAGTCTTGAGTGGTCGGAGGATCTTGGCACAGTGACTAGCCATCCACAAGACTATGCACACCGTCTGCAGAACAACATTAACGGGTTACAACTTAAACACATCAGAGAGAGAGAGAGAGTGTGTGTGTGTGTGTGTGTGTGTGTGTGTGTGTGTGGAAGCAGTCTCACCTCAACAAAGAAGATTAGGGTTTCTAAAAGGTAGGGCCAGGTTTTTAATTTGCCCTCTTTCATTTCCAATAAATCCCCTTTGCATTTATTCAGTATGTCTGTGGAGAGGAAGAGGAAACATGAAGCAGAGCGAACACAGAGGAGGAGAGCAGTTCACTGTTAGAATCCAGCTGCTAACTCACCTTGAAGCTGAACTACTAATGATTTGAAACCGTTACAGATCTGGGTTTGAAGCTCCGACGACTCGTCTAAAGAGAGGAAGAAGAGACCGGAGCGGTAAGCATTAATAAAAGCGTTAATTAAAAAGTTAGCTTCACGTCGTCGCCGCCGCCCCTCCTCCTCACCGAGTCCGACAGTCTCCAGCTCCTGTAGGTGGACAGACAGCTGTAGGGCTGCGGCCTGGCACTGACAGCTCCCGCTGGATAGAGCTGGGGCCAGGCGGGTGGAGGGTGGTCCCAAGAATGGATACTGCAGGGAACGACACAGAGAGCCATCACAGCAACAAACCCCACACAGCTCTATCATTGAGTCGTTCTAATGTACTGCAGAGGGCGCTAAAGATTATAAAGTAACACAATCACTTTAGATTCAAATAGGTTTTACACTATTTTTCACATTTTTTAGGGGCTTTTCTCGAAGATAAAGACAACCACATACATTTCCTGAACTATTTTTATCCATTCACTGTTGGAGACTCTTTACTCAGTCATTTCCTAGTTATTGCTTTTTGGTAAGTATCTGTCCTATTTTTGCAGCCCAGTTGGCAGGTTTCCCACATACACAACACTTAACCAAACAATTAAAATGAAGCCCTGAGCAGGACTGTAAGGGTTAAAAACTGGGTGATTATGCTGAGATTTTTATTTGAAACTTATCATTCAACGTGATTTTTATGGAGTTAAACGAACACACTGAAGTTTGGAATGAAAATTTGCCCCTAATTAGGAGAAAGTTTGGCTGTTTATATTCTTGCAATCCCATATTCTCTGTAACCTGAGGAAGATATTTCATTTATGAACAATCCTGTCGTCTTTTTTCTTTTGCTTAGTTATCTCCCTCAAACTAGAGTCTGGAAGTCTCCAGTCTAACTTCTTTGGGCGTCCATTTTACATGAGACCATTCATGCAGCTGAACCTCCTTCCTGAGTCTATGCTGAGCGGCAATGGGAAGAGGAAGTAGGCTCACAAATGTCTTGGCAGCCAGTAGTTGTTCTGCTGGTTCATTCCTCATTAATATGCGTCAGACACAGGCGACTAAAGTCTGACCAGCAGTAGATTGGAGAAGCTTTCTTCCAGGAGTAGATAAGAGTTATTTAGGATTACAGATGAGAGCCAGGCCAGAGGAAATGTATGTGGCACAGTTATTTTTTAACCTTTGACGTGTGCCTGATGTGTTTTTTTAAACAACTCCACGCCCCTACGTACCTGTACACGTTTTTCTGCTATCTGCGCGGCGGTTTGCAGAGTCTGGTTGAGTTGCGAGAGCAGGCTGCTGAGGATCGAGGTCTTGTCTCCGATCCCATTCTCGTTGGCCATCACAGAGTTTTGCTGGGAGGGTGTGTGTCCCAACCCGGCCAAAGAGGCGAGGAGGCGAAGAGTTAGAGAGCGTATTCTCAGCCAGACGGCCTCTTCGTCAAGAGATCGACGCCGGTGCTCGTCAGTCAGCTCTCTGTGAGAGGAAGAGGAAAGATTATTCACTGCCTTTTATTCCACAATGAAAGTCAGACTGAAACTAAATAAAAAGGCACCAACTGAAAACTAAAAATAATAATATGGCAGATGGAACAGTGAACATATGAATATTATAAATATATTCATATTCAATGATCAGACTTTATTCTTTAACGGCATGAATGTCAGAAACGATGATTGTCAACGCGTTCAGATAAAAACAAAAAAGAGCAAGAAAAAATACGAATGAAATTACAATTCATTAGGTACAATAAAATAAATACGTTCATATCTCCTCTTCAGAAGTTGATTTAGCTGCTCGACCTGAACTAAAGAGCTGAATCCTGTATTACAATAACATTACATCTGTCACTGATGTAAGCTTGTGTTACCAGTGAGCCAACATTACCAAAATAACAGATTAATGGATTAAATTCATTCAGTCTCACTGAAATTACACAATTAATCAGCTGTCTCTTATGTTAATTATCAGCAGGAGAAACGTATGCTGTCAACCATCTTCAAAGCTTCACCTATACGCCTGCTAACAGAATAAATGTTATCCAACGTTATAGCAGTTTTGTGAGTGTAGTCAGTGGCAGAAGGATGCTGCTTGTGCTGCGAGTGTTTCTAAATGTAATGATAAAAAAACAACTCTGATAATACTGAGAGCAAACTGAAAGAAATATCAGCCTTCAGATTCAGTATGAAGTCTGTATAGTGATAATAACTACTGTTAGTTCATATTGTAACCTGGAGCCTGGTAACTCAGAACGGATCAGGAACAGTAAGAAAGTTTATACTTTCTTTTCCTACTTTTTGGGGGTGGGGAAGCAGAAATTGCTGAGCTTTTATTATTCCACTATATGTGAATAAGACTTTACAGTCTGGTATAAACAGGTTAACAGTGGCCTTTTTCTCGCTATCCTAGCAACAGAGACACAGAACAACACCTGTAACCATGGTAACAGCAAAGATGGCAAGTTAAAAAGCTTCAATTTTATTGTCAAAAACTAGATTAAAATGTATTTTAGGTTTTGTTGACCTAAAATAATCCCACACCTGTCTTTAGGGTCCCAGCTGGTAAAAACTGTAAGGTCTCGGTTGTCCCTCATATTATCCCAGGGGATGTCATCCTCCTCTGCAGACAAAGACATGGCCTTGACACTCTCCTCCAGACTCAACACACTGGAAGACAAAATGAGAAAAAGACGAAATCTAAATGAAGAATTCAACTCCAACAACACAAGTCGATACAGTTCAGCTTTATGTTTTGAGGATTTTTCTCACATATCGGCCTCGAGGAACAGGTCCAGCAGCATCCGCTCAGTGCGGACCTGGGCAAAGTGCAGCGATTGGTTCAACCTGTTCCTGAGAGCAATGAACTCTGGGATTTTCTCAAACGCTCCATACTTATACGCCTGGATGATATACTCTGAGGTCTGGTGGGAGGAGAAAAGAGGGAAGGAAGAGATTGATTAAAGGAATGAGCCGCACAAGGTAACGTAAGAACGTGTGAATCTGGCTTCAAGAGTGTTTAATGTGTCAGAAATTAAATCACAAAGTGGGATTGACTTACATCTTTCTGGTTAGAGTGGAAAAACCTGAGGGAGAAATTACAGGACTGGGAGGCTGCAGCAAACTGACCCAGTGACTCAGCGTAACGCGTTAACAGAAAGCTGCAAGTGTAAAAAGGAAAAAGCATTTTTAATGATTATAAACTGGTCTGGGCTTGTATCTATTAAGTGTCTCTGAGAAGGAAATCAGTCTTAGCTGGTCAATAACTCCCAGTTTAACACAAATTTGGTTCTACTTTAAGACTCAGGAGTAAAAACAGTATTCATCAGTTTTTAAATCATTCTTTGACAGAGCTTGAACAGTTGTGGTAACTTATTATAAAACATAGAAACACAATTGTCACAACTGACAGTTTCAGTAGTAAGAAACCAAACTTTAATTATGCGTTTGCTTGTTTATTTATTACTGCTCTCCTTATTTATTTAACGAACACTACAGATGGATTGTTAAAGAGATACTGGATGTTCTTTGTTATAGTACATTTTCCAGCCCTGGGTGGCAGAGAAATAAATCATTTCACCACTTCATTGACTAATTGTATGTGTATTTTTTTTTTTTAAATCACTGACAGTACTTACTTACTTTGCATGTATATTATATGTTTATTCACATAGAGTTTACACATAATAGTTTAATTGTTTGAGTGTGAAACACATTAGTCATTCTTATATATTCTTTCACTGGGCTGAAACTGTTAGTTAATTAAATTATAGTGAGATTAAAACCCCTGGAACCCCTTTAAGGACCCCAACAAATACAAAAACACACAACATGTAAGATTTGAACAAGAGAAAGAAAACTATAATATGTCTTATAATCTCTGCAGCTGATTGTTGTAAAGTAACATTCAACACAACACAGATGTCATTAAAAGTGTCTCTGTGTTCATGGACTGACCCTATGGTGTCGTGCTGCACGTGTTTGGCGTCCAGGCTGGAGTAAAGGTCCACTACCGGCTCAAAGGCTCCCAGGTGACAGTAGAGGAGCAGCAGCAGCAGCTTGAACTGGGCGTTGGAGGGACTATGAGACAGACCCTCCTGGAGGACGCCCAAACCCTGCCACACCATGTTCTCATCCCCTACAACACACACACAGCGACGACACGTTTAGAGACACGGAAACAAGAGACGGATGTGGAATAAGAGAAAGGAAACTCACCAGTCTCCGTCCATAAGTCGACGTATACGTGAGCTACCATGAGACAATACATATCGGAGAACTGCAGCTCCGTCTTCAGAGCGTTCTTCCCTGTTAAACACAGAGATCAACCAGTCACAACTAATATACAGTAAATGTTCACAGGAAGGCAGCAGTAATACAACCGTACTGTTCTTATAGCGGCGCTAATACGATACTCAAGTTTAACACCAAGACAATAACAAACCTTACTGAGTAATAAACCCTGTGATAATACGGTAAAGTACAATATATATGATGTGTAATTATAGGCTGTCACAATATCAACTTATTGTCTAAGAACATTTTAGTCAACATTAACCCAGAATACTAAAGTTTTTCCTTCACTTATATTGTCTGTTAAGGAATAATTTTTGTTAACAGAGTTAATTTTATTTATGTCTTTATGTTTTATTTGTCAAGGATATTTTAATACTTTTTACCTTACAATTCTAATGTCTGAATTTTCTTAATACCTACAAGTTAATTGCTCTTTGAAAGGGTGGACTTGCATTATTATACTTATTATATTAGCAGCATAAAATGGTCTTAAAATGACAATAATATTGTTTATAGAGAATATATCGTCCAACAAAAGTAGTTATTGTGACAGGCGGTTTTTATTTCTAACAAAATAAGCCAAAAGGTCACTGTTCAATTGTCCCTCAACACAAAACAAGTACAAGAACTTTGCCTACATGAAACATTATAAAATTAGCAAAAAGATTCAAATAAAAGCATTCAGTGACAACTTAAATGTTTTCAAAGCTTGCTGCTACAGACACGTCTGTATCCAACTCATATCGAAGTATGATTCTAATCATTTACACCTTAAAACTAAAAATACACTTGTGTTATACTCATTAAAGACATACTATGCAGGATTTGTCCGCTGCTGCTTGTAAACGCACCGTTCGAAGTTGGCCCCTCCTCCCCGGCTCAAGTGAGCCAGAGAGAGCACCTTTGGTCGAGCTACATAGAGAATGAATGAGGGGGAGGGAGAACAAAGCAGTGAATCAGAGAAATAAAACGTCATTCTCTGACTGTTTCACAGCGGTTACGTTCCACAGCACAAATAAACACGGGGCCACACCTCCGAACAACCCTGCAGGAAGAAGCCATATTTGTGGATTTTTGTGTGAATGCAGATGAAGAAGTAGCTTCATCCTGTCCGCCCCCAAAACAAGACACTGACACACTGCAGCCAGGTTATACATCCAACAGACAGACAGCGAGCAGAGACAGACGGAGACGGAGATGTAACCTCGTCGCTGGGTTTTTACAGAAACCTCTGCACGCCCAAAAAATGTCCCAAACACAACAAAATAAGAAGGCAGAGCCTCTGCAGATACACACTGCCACACACTTCTAGTGCTGATCTCAAGGATTATGTATGTATGAGATCTTTAGGAAAATCCTGCATAGTATGCCTTTAAAATCCAGACAGCTGGTCTCCATGTTAGCAGCCTGAATCTGTCTTTCTGTCACATTCATTAATGCTGGACCCTAATCTTAACCACAAACCAAGTCTTAACTCTACAACAAATTGCTAACCTTGTGTGTGTGTGTGTGTGTGTGTGTGTGTGTGTGTGTGTGTGTGTGTGTGTGTGGGAGGGGGAGAGAATAGCTTTTTAGTCCCAGATCAGAGGTTAAATCCTCAAAATGTGACTAACTGAAAACAGATTTCATCCCCATACACAGACAGACACCCACAGACACCCACAGACACACACAGACACACACAGACACACACAGACACACACAGACACACCTCCTCGAGCTGCCAGCCGACCTGCATTAAAACTGGTGTTTGGAACAAGGTTTTAAAAATCTTGCTAATGCTGCCATATGCTCAGTGACCAGGAAGGCTGAACCCCTGCTTTGTCCTTTCCATATGCAAATGTGTCGCTACATAAACAAGTACATGCACATGAACAATACTTCAATTTGCTTTGCATGTGAACGGCTTACTGAGGATGGCTTATTGGAAACCTTATGATGAGTTGATAAGCTTCTGATGGGAAATGGCAGGTGAATAGTTATCGTATATAATGACCAGTTGGTTTGCACACAACCCTGCAAATACCTCTGTGCTCCATGGTGGACTACCATACTTCCATACACTGAAAGCAGTGGACAAAGCGACCACAATGGGAGATTTATGGTGCGGCATCAGCAGTGTGAGGTAATGAACCCGTCATGCATGGATAAAGCACAGGCTGCAGACCAACACCTGGCAATAACATGCAGTTTGGGTGATCCGATCACAAGAGGATAGGACAGCTCTATGTACAGGTATGAATGCAGCCCAGACGCATCTATTACACACTGAGATCCACATGTGACCACATTCTTGTGTCTCATCAGTGTGAATATGAACGCGTCCTGGGGCACGCCGAAGGACCGCCTACTCAACTGACATCCTGCAACTACACAGAAAAACACGCTGTCTGATTTCCATTTGGCTCATTGTGATGCAAACGACGTGTTAGGGCTATCTAACCTGCCAAGATAAGCAGCAGATGTTTGTGAACACACTGTTTCCACTGATTTCACTATTGAACTAGTAACTGCAATATCCCCAGACTCTCTTAAAAAAACATTGTGCAATTTTTAGAGTTGTTGAGTGAGGAGAAACTCTATAAACTTTGTGAAATGGATACGGCAAGTCATTAAGTCAGTGCCTTCTTGTAAATTTGGCATTAAGTGCAATACTTGAAGTTCTTCCTTCGGTTTGTGTCAGTTTGTCGTTGTACCGGTGGTTAAACCGTATGTAAAGTGAGTCTTACCTGCCAACATTTAGCAGCTAGTGTTTAAACACTCTTCCAACAGATTTTACCATTTACACGACATTTTATTGACGATAAACAGGTCAAATTGTACTAATACTACTTCTTCTACCAGCCTCCCTTTAAAAATTGTGCAATTTTGTGAGTAGTTGAGTTAAGAGATTCTTTATAAACTTTGCAAAACAACGTCTGCAACACATTCTTAATTATTTGGGACTTCTTGTAGATTCGGCATTAAGTGCAATACATGGAATTCTTTCTTTCCCAAAAAGAAACATTGTGCCAGTTTGTCAAGGCATAAAAAAAAAAAATATGTTGAGTTGTTCTTTTTACCTATTACTTGAAGGCTAAATGCCACTGTTGTTTTTTGTAATTGTTTTAATTAAAAAGACTTTTAGTTTCTGGGATTATTTGGTAGAAAAATGATGATGATGCGGGGCTTCCAATTTTCTGGCCACTGAGCATGAAACATGCTGCATCTACAAGTTTTTATGTCTCTTTGCTCTGTGTACAATCTGATTATCCTGAACAAATGTTAATGCCATAAAGTATAAGAATAAAGAAGTGTTCTTACCAAACTTGAGTCCATGGCGATAGTGAGCTTTGAGCTCCGCAATAAGCCGCAGTTTTCCGTCCGCGTCGAGGGAGTGATGCAGCCCGAGCGCTCGACTCAGCTGACACACACACAAATGCCTCTGTAGCGCTTTGGTGTCCTCTGGAAAAGCGAATCCCTCCTCTCCCAGCTCCCCCAGTGGAACCGCTTCACTCAGACGGTTAGTGAACTGAAGAGTCGAGGAGAGAAAAGGCGTCTCACAGCCCAGCCCTTCACTTCACTTCACAAGAGTTTAACAACAGGGGCTGTAACTCACCTGAACGTGTTGATCAGGAGCGAGCAGGTGGAGGTATATTTTTAGGTCGGTGATGCAGCAGGGTTTGTCTCCAAACTTTGCAAAGAACTGCACCATTAGTTCTAAAGGCTCACCTGTTCAAAGCCACATACAAATGTTAAAGCGGGGGTAAAACAGGGCAAAAGAAAGTGCTTTTACAATCCGTGTTTTACCTAGCAGTTTTTCCTCAGGACAGCCCCGTTCCCTCAGTCTGTGGATTAATTCAAGCCGAGCTAAATAGGGTCCTCTGAGTGAACGAGAGTCTTTGCCGTCCTCCCCTTTGATTCTGTCTTCCACAAACCTCACCACTTCAGCCACAGTGTGATGTACCGAACCCTCCGAACAGCTGTAGACAGACAGGCAGAGAGAGAGAGAGAGAGACAGATAGATCAGTGCTGGATAGTATCACCATGTGCTGCCCTCCAAAGTGAAGAGCAGGACTGAAGGAGTTCACAGAGATTCAAGGACAACTCAGCAGGTCGGACTCTTGCAGGCACAAGGTGTTCTAAACTCGGGCTGTCTGGTTGAAGGATGAGGTCTCTGTTAGTTAGCCACCTTGTCATCCAAACATAATGCTGTGAGCAGGAATGGGTGAAAGGGTTTGTCCTTAAATAAAGTCACTTGTCATAATTCAGCGCGACCTCGCCTGCCGTCATCATGGGATTAAGTTAGAGTACTGACCGATATATTAGATCTTACTGCAGATAAATTGGGATCAGTGTTTATGACCCTTCCAGGATTACAAATCCCCCCAATTAACATCTGAAAACAGCTGGCTAGAACTGGTAAAGACTAAAAATAAACGTGTGCACATTGAATCAGGTTTCTCTGTCACTGACGTGTCTCAGCGGTGCCCTCGCTCTCATTGTTTGTTTCTACAGCAGCATTTAGTCACTGATTCAAGGCTACCTACAAGTCATTTTCCAGGACTTTTTCTTGACAGTACAGAACAGCATGTACTTACACATGGTCATATAAGCTGCAGGTTTCAGACAAATTGACTACATTCATCTGTCCACAGCCTGTAAGTAACAGTCCAAATCACGTAGAACTTGTTTTATTTTACAGAAAATTCATGTAAAACTAGTCTCTAAATGTCCAGGTTTTCCAGGATGTGTGGAAACTGTGTGATATGTAAGTTTACTGAATCATTAAAGATGGCACCTTTTCCCACTCTTTTTAAGAAATCCTTTTCCAGGACCTCAAGTTTTTCTTGACACTTCAGGACAGCCCTCGCTCACAAACAGTCATATAATTTCCCGGTAAGCCTAGCACTGACTTTAAGTGCATCAGGTTCATTACAACGTCTCTGTTACAGCTAGACTGACCTTTATTTCCTAACTGCACAATGTCCTGCTCAGTACATATATTGGTCAGAGCTCTTCAATAACTAAACTGTAAAAATCTGTGTGTTCCTGTTGGCTTATATTGAACTCTGTACTCACTGGTCGCCTTCCTCCGGCGGGCTCCACGACTGATCGATGAGGTGGAAGAGCGAGTCGAAATAGGAGGGATAGAACTGCCAATCGTCAGGACTGGAAACAGAAACACACAGGTCTGTAACTTACGTGCTTGTCTGTGGTTTATTCTCACAATCACAGACGACAGGCGTGAACATCCGGTCTGAGGACTAAACTCACTTTTTGAGAAGCAGCTTGTGAGCCAGAGCGTTACACTCCGGCCAGCGTTGTAGTCTCTGGTAGAGCATCATACACTTGTTTTCTCTGCTCTGCAGCTCACTGGTCAGCTTCTCTGTGGGAAGATACAGACATATTATTAATTTAGTTTAGGACCATGTAGAAAAAACATTAATCTCATACAAAGAGATCTAGTTTACCAGATTTAGCTACAAGGTAATTTCCATCTATAGTCTTTGATCAGGGAGACAAACTAATCCAATTAATGAAATCAATACACATACCAGTGCTCTGTCTTCCTGTCTTGTTTGTATTTCTTAACCTGCCACTTCACAGATTTTAGAACATGTTGCAAAAGGACAACTGTTTAAAATTAGCCTCCTGGCTAACAACAGGCACATTTACAGAGACGTTGATTAATGTGCTTTGACCTCATTAATAAACTGATATGATACAGTATATTCATAGCAACGCCACGTGAAACTGCCACGACATCGTCTCCAACTCGACGCAAACACAAGAGGATGCAGGATGTCCTGTGTCAAACGGGTCTGCAGGGTTTTCACTCCACCTTTCAGTATCTATAGTATACTATAGTATCTTAGAACCACAACCTGAAGTAAAGCTTAAAAAGTACCTGGTACCATCCACTACTTGAACAAATGGAAAACCAAGTAAGAACAGTTCAAAAGGATTTGAGCTGGATCAGGCAGTGAAAATGAGGCATGTTATTCACCAATACACCCTTTCTTAGTGAGAAAAACACACATATACATACCCCCAAGTGGACCCCTGATCACTTCGAGAGCCTCCACACACTTTCCCAGGCGCTCCAGGATCATAAAATACAGCTGCACCTACAGACACACATAAAAACACCAGAAAGCCATTTAATTAGTGCCAGCAACTCTGTTACATCTGTTTGTCTTGTAGTTAGAAATAAAACTCGACCTACTGTATCAACCCGAATGTAAGAAGCTATCACGAGTGTGCGGGTGTAACAGCGGTCTACAGACGACTGTTCTAGGCTGGTCAGCGTCTTTAAGTCTGTTTATTGTGAGTTAATCAGCCCTGTTAGTGTTTATAAAGCCAAGTTCTGACATGCTACTTGTGAGACATGGTAGAAACACATTCCTGATTAATTAAAACAAATTGAAAGCATCAGACATTTGCAGACACAGACCGAATAATCTGTCAAGCTACCAATTACCGAGAATTACTGCTGTCACAGGCTCAAAAAGACATAAAACCCTCATTCTGACTGCTTCAACAGCTTAACAGGAGAGAATTTGAATGTGTGACTGACAGGCAACACAAAAGAGGAATTTATATTATGCTTTAAGGGAAGTATTTCATGTTTTCACTTTTACCAGGTTTCAAGGCTAACGACTCTTTTCTTTGAACAAACAGAAGTTTAGAGAAACCTCCAACAGGATTATTCTGAAAGGCTTTTATATATCTTCAAAAAGACGTTTGTCTTTGGGCCAATATGTTCATTCCCTAACTTTCACAAGCTTACAATGTATAATTTTGTCATCAGGACTGTCCATACGGTATTGGTTTTATAATTTATTCTATATACAGTCGCTCCTCCTGAGGTATCTACTAGGTTTCCTCTGTTAAAAGGGTTTTTTGGGGGGCTATTTTTTCCTTATCTGAATCATGGGGTCTAAGGACAGAGGGTGTTGTATGCAGTACAGATTGTAAAGCCTTTAAATTTACCTTGACTAACTTCAAAAATGAGGAAAATTAAACAAAATGTACAGCCCCATTTCAGTGTGTATTTGTTCACACATCTGACAAAAAGGACAAAAAGGAAGCGTCTCGTACAGTAATGATTCGGGGCTTATTACTGTGGCTGTCACGCTCTTTTTAAAAGGACCTAATGAACTGAAAGAACACAGAGTGATACGAGCACAGCACTTTCAACAGCTTTTGACTTACTAATCAGGGGAAATAGCAGCACTGACGTGCATACATGGTTGGCCAATGACTCATTAGTAGTGTAGCTTTTGAAATCATGCTAAAATATATCTGCTGTCATAAAGTCCTGTGGTTACCAACCAATTTTTAAGGTTCTGTACCAAACAAACATGTTTTCTTACATCTGGAGAACAGGATTTGTAGGTCAGGGAATCTCTTCAACACTACTGTAACTCATAATGCTGTTTTATAATTTTATCTTCATCAAAAAAAATTCTTTGACGTACTTTTGATGATATTTAGATTAATTGTGCAGCCCTAACGAACCCGTATGTGTCTGATTGCATGGTCCCAAACGAACGCACCAGGACCTGTTTTACCCACACCAAACAAGTTATGTGTGAAAGCACCACAAGACATTTTAATCTAAGTTTTAATATATATTATCATGACTCAACTAACAGCAATTGTTCAGGTCACATAGACATCTTCCTCACCTCAGCTTCTGCCTCAATCTTCTCCTCCTTGACCATTTTCTCCACCATGCGTTCAGCCAGGGGCAGGAACATGGTTTGGGCCAGTCTTTCATCTTGTGCTGAGATGGCCTAAACAGCAACCAACGCAGCATCGTGTGTTAGTTTCAGAAAAATAATATTTTAGGAACATGAACAGATAAAAAAAAAAGGCCCATACCTGCATCACCAGACTCATGACGGACCAGAAGTAATACGGATTCTTGGGGACGATTTTATACAAGGCCATTCCTGCCTGTAAAGGGGCGAAGATGCAGTCGTCAACATCCTCTTCATTATTCTGATTAAGTGTCCATCTTTTTAAATTACCAATGGAGCACAAAAGCCACAGCTGTTAGTCACGTGTGTTTGCACGTTTATATGCAAGTGCGGACGAGAGCTTTCTCACCTGCTGCATCTTCTTGTACTCGCCCACGCGAGCGTACGCCATGAAGAGGTGAGAGTGGTACTCCTCGCTGAGAGGAACCTTCTTCACCGCAGCTTCGTACAGCTTGGTGACCAACTCCGCTGCGGACGACAGGCGCAACTTCTAACATGCAGTCATTCTAGTATTATTACCAGCTTCTCTGTGTGTGTGTGTGTGTGTACTCACGACGATGCATCTCTCTGTACAGTATAGTCAGAGCTTGTAACGAGTTGTCATCCGTGGGCTCTAGAGTGGCGACTTCCTGGGCCAAAGTGAAAGCTTCATCTTGCTTCCCAGTCCTCTGAAGGCCGATGGCCTTTAGGACCTGAAGGGAGGAGGAGGGACAAAAATAAAGAGTTACAGCACACAAACAACAGAGTGAGACGATGTTGTCGATAGCCTGACCTCTGCAGGAAATCAAGTTCACGCAGGATGTTTGACAAGATGATGCCTGGAGGGAAATATTCAGGTAATCGCAGCAAAATCTGAGTGTGAATCTGGTTGTGTGTGTAGCTGTAATGTTAAAGAGGTTAGCATTAGTTATATCAGAACTGGAGAGTATTTATTCATTACAATAGTAAAGAACGGCACTGAAAGTGGAAAAGATGTTGGTTATATGTGAGATTGAGATTTGTTGAAGTTGTGACAGACAGACGGTTCATCCAATCACCTGCCGAGTACTTTATGAAAGTTCCTCCCTTTCCAACGACCACTACCCATATGGTTCTGTGTAACAGTCGGGTTATTCCTTGCCACCTAATTATTTAAAGCGTTATAAATTATCAATGGTTTTCCCTGCGAGTCCAGAGACGGATGAGACGGATGAAAAATCCCCACATTTAATACTTTATAGAATTTCCCTCAGTGGGTTGTGTGGTCTGACGTTGGGCTGCATCTAAAAATCAATACCACTATAAATTGCCACATTTGCCTTGGTAATGATAATTAAATTGTATTAAATACACCACTGCACAACGTTCTCTGTCCTCACAGTAGAACTGGTAGATTATGACGCCGAGTAACATTAATTTAACAAATTCATTAGTTAATAACGCTTTTGGTTTGCTATAATAGAATAATCTAAGTAAAGACAGGTTCTGTTTCACATTTCTTATGACTATTAAAGTCGTTAATATTACAAAGAGGGTTGAATAACAACCTCATGGCCTCTGTTATCTCATTACATCTGCAGGTAATGTAGGATATATTGAAACGAGTAAGAGGTTAAAACACCCTGTGGGGGTGAGGACGGCTGAAACTGCTCCCAAAATGACAAAAACTCACTTATTATTATTCTTTAAAAACTGTGAGAGGAGAACTCTCTAGCTCAAAATATGCAACCTGAACAAAAGGGGGTCACAAGTAGACATTTATCATGTCATACAGTCAAAAATGGGGCAAACCATTGAACTAGGGCTCTCAATAAATTCAGGACAACAAAGAAAAAGCCATATCTTTCTAGACCTTGTTCAATAAACCTTCATTGTCAGGACAGTGAAAGCAATACAGGTTAAACTGTCCATGTGACGAATGGTAGACGAACAGTTTGTTTCTTTTAGGTCATGAATGGCAATATCTGACAACACGGGGCAACCTGCAGAGGTTCACCTGGTTACCGAGGATAAATAAACATTTAAATACGTTGTGAGGTGTTGGTGACAGCAGGGTGGTCTCAGCTTTGACCCCTGAGGCAGCAGCATGTGTTCATACCTGTCAAAGTGTCCTTGAGCAAACGGCTGCACTCCTACCGGTGTGTTGGGAATGTGTGTGTGTTGTGTGTGTGTGTGTGTGTGACCCAACAGCTGACGTGTCCCATAATAATACATGGAGAGATGCAGACTTTTAAAAAGGCTATTTCTTGTAAAAAAGAAACGAGTTTTGGGGTAGAAAACAAACATTTTCAGGGAGAATTGTTCCTTAGTTACCCACCTTGGCACAGTGCAGGTCCTTATGTTTCTTCAGCAGTTTATCTGCCTGCTGTATCGCCATTTTATTGTTGCCATTATCAAGGTAATCTGGGAAAGAAACACAAGAGACAACATTAATGATGGTGGTTGTATTTAATAGACTAGAATTCATCTTATTAAGAGTTTGAATTCAATGGGAAATAGTGACTAAATACTGCTGGAGTTTAAACAATTAGTCAATTAATGGATAAGTTGAACAACAGAAACTTTTTCTGAAAGTATTTTGATAATAAATCTGTCAGTGCAACAACATTTTATAGTTCCAGCTTTTCTTTGTTTCGTGTGAGACTGGACAGCTGGTCCGACGAAACAAGCAATTTCAAAGCATTAACTTATCATAAAATGGAGAAAATGTTGATCACTGTCTCCTGAAGTCCAATGTGACGTCCTCATATGTCTGTTCTGTCCACAACTCAAAAGATATTAAGTTTACAGTCATAAAAGACTAAAGAAACCAGAAAATATTCACATTTGAGGAGCTGAAATAAGAGAATTTCGACATATTCTCTTTAGGAAAATGACTCAAAACAATAATTTAATGATCAAAACAGCCGGTAACAGACATTTCTTTGCTAGTTTCAAGCATATTTTTGACCAAACGATTAACCTATAAATTGAGAAAACGATACTATACACGTCTTTCCGAGTGATTGTGTTGAACTATGTGCACTGCAGTCGCACACACAGACACCTCAGCCCCTTCGGGACAGCTGGGTGCCGAAATTAACCGTGCCAGACAGTGCACTGTGATTATGTCATGTCTATTCTCTCTGTTCGAACTGTCGCCACACGAGAGCCAAAAAGTTGACGAAAGCCTACTGAACTGTGAGGAACACTGACATATCACTTTCCTATCACAAGTTCATGTTCCGCTGCCACACTAAAGCAGCCCTGAAGCTCCGGCCAGCGGAGGAAGAAGACAGCCACAGAAAGAGAGATTAGTTTACTTATTTATGGTTTTCACTACAGCTTCATTTCACTGTAGGTCCACGAAACACGGTTACATTACGCTCAATACAACGCACACAGTGAAGAGTAATAAAGTTAGTGGTGTAGTGCACTTTATTTTTCAGTCAGCATTGGGTTATACCAACTTCCAAACCCCCCTCTCATATGTGTATCATTCAGTAATAGGATGGAGAAGGAGTGGCACAATCTTTAGGAGTGGATGCATAATGCAGGAATGCATTAAGCGTTATGAATTATGTAGTTGTCCCGCCCGTCTGTGAACGGGTATTGATTGCACAACCTGCACCTCTTCTGTGGCTAATATTAATTCCATAATGATCCCGACTAAATAAAAGTAAAGCTGCAGACGTTAAGTAACAAAGTGCAAACACCGCCGGCCCATTTTTGAGCGAGCTATACATGTAAGAGTTTGTAACACAGGGAGTTTATCTTCTTTATCTTTATCTTCCACTTAAAAGAAAATTTATCTTTATCTTTTATCTTTCTTAAAAATCCTATAGAGTTTAGTTTAGCTAGTTTTTTCTATTGGTGCCCAAAATACAAAAAAGCAAATACACCTCCTATTTTGAGCTGTAACACGAATAAAGACACTTTAAAATATTACACAGGCTTCATTGTACACCCTTGCTGAGGGGTAAAGAGTTCTCCTAAATATATTAAACACAATTCAAAAACAGGTACAACAATGTTGATGGCACAGGATTCAGAGTTATTGCCTCCTCGGTGTGTTATAGGAGCGAACGTGGACAGTGAAAGGAACAACTGCAACACCAAACTAGACGCTTTTATATATACAAACAGCACGAAAGAATAGAAAAATACAAGATATAGCAGGTCTGAGACACAGCGGACCTCCTATAGACTGAACTTTGCACTACGTCATTGACAATATTGGATCTGATAACAGCCTAACGCAGTACCTGAGTGTATATTCGCTTCATCCTGATGGTGTGGAAGTGTTTGTTTGTGCTGTTTTGTTGTGTATTGTGTAGATAAAGCTGTGACTCCTGCTGTTAGGAGATTTATTTTGAAAATCCTGAGAGACTTTTTGACTTTGGGAGTAAAACCTGCTTCTCCAGACAACACTACACCTCAGATTAAAGTGTAAAACAAACAGGTAAACAGGTGGGATTCCTCAGTTATTAACAACATTCAAGTACTATGAGTGTATTCATGTCATCCTGTGTTTGTTGGTGCTGCTGTGTTGAGTATTGTTTGACTGTTTACGTCGTTAAAAACCAAAATAAATAAATAAAATGTGGTCCTGTTTGGAAATGGAGTACACGTAATTTTGGATTATAAAAAAATAAATAACAACAAAGCATAAAAACAACAGGTAAACAGGTGGGACTCCTGTGAATGTCCATTATTTCCGTTATTTAGCGGCTCTGACAGCTCCATGCTAACTAGCCGGCTAGCTGGAGTTAGCATGAAGCATTGTCCTTCCACTTACTATGAACCTAATGCTAGCTGGGAGCTAACCGTGAAACAGCCAGCTAGCTTTTTAAATATAACACAAAAAGCCATTGACAGCGCATATATTTATATATATATTCAGACTGGTTAACGCGAGAGCAAACAACCAGCACAAATAAACAACTTTTATTTTATTTTTAAACACAAACAGTCGCTGCTAGACTGGCTAGCTGACACGTTAGCATGCTAGCTCGCTAACTAGCTGTCAAATAGCGACCGTTAGCCCGAAAAGCAGAAAAAAAAATCACCGACAAAAAACAAAACAAAAAACAACAACCGGACGACAGGAAACGTCTCCGCGTTGTGACACCGCCGTGAGCGAACACCCCCGTTTTAATGTTAACGCGGGGACACACGGGTTTCCAACCGGAGACCACCGGTGGCAGCCGCGTCCCGACCCCCGGGGAAGGTGCACTGTCATCGGGCGCTGCAGGCAGCACAGTCCGCGGTTGGAGCTGGTGGGGCCGCATCGCTGCTGCTGCTGCTGCCGCCCCCCCCCACCACCACCACCACCCCGCCGCTACCTTACACACACTCACCGGTACACAGCCTGATAATGTTCGCCCTGCCTCCACTCTAACGTACATACACAGCTTCCCCCATTGAGAGCTTACCGTATATCGGTCGGAGTCTCCTGTCGTTGGGATCTTGCACATGGCCTCTCGCCGCCATGGTGGAGTTTACCTGCTGGGTTAAATGTTCACGCATGCGCGCTGAGAGCCGCCACTAGGAGCGATTAAAGGATTTTTTTTTTTTTTTTTTTTTTTGTCGCTGAGTGCAGCAGGCTGTCAGTGAGCGTCCCCAGGAGGAGTAACTGCATGGAGGACGGATTCAGGTCCTTTACTCAGGGATAATGATGTATGATCAATAAAAACTGCACGTAAAGTATTCAAAGTAAAGTCAAACCCAATAGGGCTTTATTGGCATGGGGAAACAAGTGTTAATATAGGTATATACAGATTAAGAAAAGAAAAATGAATGAAATAACAACTAATAATAATAGCTTAAAAATAAAGTAGGAAAAAAAGAAAGAAAAGTAGACTTGTAGTTATCTATAACTTTTGCAACATCACAAACAACCTGAGTCAGATTCCTTGTATGTGCACACATACCTGGCCAATAAAAGTGAATCTGATCTTAAAACTCTTTAGATTTACATTTACTTAGTATATAGACTCTTATTATTGTATTATATCTCTTAGGCTCCTTTATGTATATACCTATACATTCATTTATATTCTGTATATTGTGTTAGATATTGTATAAAAGTACTATTTCTTTAACTTTGTGTGAGTGGAACAACTGTAACAAACACATTCCCCCCGGGGTCAATAAAGTATTTCTGATTCTGATTAGTTTAAAAAACACACATTTATGAAATGTAAGTGTGGGTGTGTCAGCAACTCTTATAAAATAAAAGCTAAATATAAAAATCTTCTGGAGCTGCAAAACTCATTTGAGCTTTATAATGCTAATTTTTCTCTGCACTATCAAGTATACCAGCAAACCAGCGGCGTTGGTGGTGAAAGAAAACAAATCTGTGCACACAATATTACATATATTACATAATATTATATCTAGGGAGACTGAAGACTAGCAGCCATCACCACTGAGGATTGGAAAGGTTCCAGGTCAGGATGTAACGTATGACGCACATTTTACTGGAGCATGTAAGAATCACTTGAGACCTACAACAATGATAAATGAAAATATTAAATACTTTAACTACTAATTTCCATGTATTTACTTGTCAAAACCACAGGGACCCACTGGAGAGGGGCTAGAGAGCTGCATGTGGCTCCGGAGCCACAGGTTGCCCAACCCCTGGTCCAGTCAGTGGTCCCACCAGGGGTCACCGAAGCTTCACGAGGGGGAGGTTCTGCATTTCATTCAGTTCTGTGTAGAAAACTAAATTAAATTGTTATTTTTAAAGGTTAGATTTTTTATTGAAGACGTAAACTTATCAGAGCTGAACATTCACAGAGCTTCAGTCTCTGATAAAAAGCCTCGTCCTGCGTTAGAAAAGTTCAAACAACCAAAGAGCTGATAGAACAATGAGAAGAAAACACTGAAAATGTAAAAAAAAGAAATTATGCCTGAATATGATTGTTAAAAATGATTTTAAAAAAATACAGAATACAAAATAATGTATAAAAATATCAGGAAAATTCATCCAAATGTCTAATTTTTATGTTTTTTCAGTTGTTCTCTATTATTTTAATGCACTGAATATACATTTATGAAAACAAAACACGTACTAAAAAGTTATTAATCAGGAACGTTTCTGTAACCTAAAAAACTGAGTTTGTGTTACTGAAACATTTTGATGAGATCAGTTTCAACAATTACTTGAGTTGAATAAACTTTACTGTTGTTTTGTCCGACCAAAAATCCCAAACTCTAAATTATTACAAATAAACTCATAAACTCTGTTTTGTGTGCCAAAAATCTTAATTAGTAAAAGCAACTAAAGCTGTCCGATAAATGTTTGTACAGTATTATAATACTTAAAGTACCTCAGATTTGTTTTAAAGATACATAAGAATTATTTAAAATACCTAAACTCCTTCCTCCTCATGGATAAATACAATATGTAGGGGTGAAATGTATATTTACTCAAGTAAACTACTGAACTCTTTACTCTATTACATTTAACTGACAGCTTACTTTGCAGATTAATACAGAATAAACAATAAAACAACTAAAGTTACAATCTAAGTCTGTTGGAAGTAAAACCCATTTTTCTTTTATCCCAAAACGTTCACAACCTGAAATAATCAGAAACAATGAGTCTGTAGTTCTTATTTCAGGAAAGCTTTCCAATTTCCCCTAAAAAATGTGGGCTCCCTAAACCAATCTTTATGTATTTTATAAGTTTAAGAAGCACATTACAAAATAAAAACACCCTGAGACAGACACACAAAAACAGGAAACAGCACATTGATTCTCTTATTTGTTCAAATTTATTAGATATTCTGTTATGTTCCATTGTCTAGACCTTCTGTCACAGCCTGAAAGCCGTGAAAAAAACAAAAAAAAGGAACTAATTGTATTACATTCACTACTAATTTCCCCTGAATTTTGCCTTATCAGAAAAGAGAAAATTGAATACACTGTGAATCTTTGTCTTTCAAAAACAAAAAGAAAAAGAAAAACATAAAAAAAAAAAAAGAAAACAGTAGATTTTGCAAGTGCTTATTCATGATTACAATAAAGAAAAACAGTATTTTGGACTCCATCTGTTCCCTAAGCTTTCTATCCCCCCCCCCTCACAGTCATACCCTGGCTGGCATCACTGGTAATGCTACAAAACTGAACATCACACAGCCTATTTCTAGTCTACAGGGCGACTCCTCGTCATCCTCAAACTCAGTCAGGCTTTTCACTCCTCATCGGTAATCTGAGGTCGAGCTGAATCCAGGTTTGATTTTGAGGAGAAGCCACCCGCCGCCCCCCCTTTTTTTGTTTGTTTGTTTTTAAAAGGATTTCCCTTCTTGTCTGATGCAGTTCAAGAGCTTCTCAAAAGCGACGATGTCCTGATCAAACGGAGGATAAATCGAGACAAAAGAAAGGAAAAATGTAAAGAATAATAAAAAATAAACTGTGTTGAGCATGCAGATCCAAATCTAGAGTTGTTTTTTGTTTGTTTTTTTGTAAAATCTCCCCTCGTGTATCGATGATATCATGGCTCCATGTCATGCTTGTACAGGTGTGAAACACTGTCAGCGTTCCTGCAGCTCAGGAACGTCCTGCATAGTTTGACACATCTGTCTCCTGGCTGTACATTCATAAGCATGGATGAGGTACAGTTAACTGCTCCACGGTACGCACACAGCACACTGTCCACAGAGCGGACATCACCTGCTCTGACAACATTATAACTTAACTTTAAGTTACTTCTAGCAGTACAGTATTGAATGATAGACCTGACAATGCTTAGTAGCTGTGAATATTCCATTCAAGTCAGTGTTTGTATGTACAGTATGTCCATTTTCTATAATGGGCCTATTATAAAGTACACTTATAACTCTCCTTTAAAACCTGTCCAACATTAACCACGCGCAGATAGGTTACCACAAAACCTACACACTCATACCTGATCCGATAAACAAAAGTCTTAATCACAGCTGAATTAACTGCACTAAGCTACGTCATGATCATATAAAACGTCACAGAACATTTCACCTATAGAGCCCGACGGGATCTGCATTACGCTCAAAATAAAGACGGCTAAAGTGAGCTCTTACAACCTCGAGTCAACGCAGCCTAAAAGAAATAAAAGGTAGTGATGCAGGAAAGAGAGCAGGATGAAGATGCTTTGAGGATCAAGGCTCCGACTAGATTCACCCAACACCGATTTAAAACTGACTTCATCCTTAAGAGTCAAGAAACTGAAGCTTAAACCTTCTTGTAGTTCAGGTAGATGAAAAGCTTTAAAAAGGAAAAAAGAAAAAAATCACTATACATGGTGAAAATAAAAAATAAAAACTATACACCCAGACTGCTTGTCAATCCACAACTGCAACAAACATCTGCCTGGACCCTTTTTGCTCTGTCAGTTGAGAGAGGAAGCGGTAGTTTGAGATATATATATGTATATATAAAAAAACTACCTTGATTCATGCACGCAGTGACGCACAGACTCTCATCCTCATTTGTTTTTAAAAAATAAAAATAAAAAGGTTCTGTGGAGGCTGTGTGTGTGTGTGTGTGTGTGTGTGGGGGGGTCCATCCAGGTTAAAGCCCTAGCCGAGAGAAGAAAGGACATGCAGCGACAGCATGAGGGAGTGCACCCACACCACCCAGACGTTATCCATCTCAGTCCCAAGAGTGACAGTCCTTTAAGAGCGAAGGCAGTTGATAACACAAACAAGCACACAGATGCACACACTAACACACACGTGTATCTGTACAGACTCTCCCGGAGGGCGCCAAAGCCCTTGCGCTAAAAAAAAATCATCAACACAAACAAATCCACTTGAGCGAAGCTGCATTGCAGCGACTATACACATGCATTGACAGTTTGGTGAGGAGTTGCTGTTGTCCACATGCACTTGTGACGGAGGCATGTTGAAATGTGGGACACTGTGTGGATGTGTGTGTGCGTGTGTGTGTGTGTGTGTGTGTGTGTGTGCGTGTGTGTGGGGGGGAATTATCCATCATGCAGGAGCATTAGAATTTTTTGCTTTGAACCATAAACAGGCGTGGATGAGCCTCCAAACTAAAACGGTAAAAGAAATAAAAATAAAAACATCAGTATTCCCAAACAACTGCCAGACAGAGGGGACAGTGAGACAACGGGGAGGAGATCCAGACATCTTTTTTTTCCTCTTTTTTCTTTTATATCAGGACAATAATATAGACAATACTGAGGGGAGAGACAAGGATTAAAGTAGAGACAGACAGTTATAATACAAGGGAAGGTAGGGAGATAAATGGTCCAATACCTGCTAAAAGTCATCTTATACCAATTTTTGTGGGAACCTGTATACTAAAAACATTCTAATTAATTTAAAAGGCTTGACTTTCTGAGTCACGGTTTACACACCTGAATAAAAACAAAGCCCATTGTAATAATCAACTACAATTACATATCAGGCAAGTTACGTTCTGTGCAAAGAGTTTTTTTTTTCCTTTTTATATGTATGCAAAACCATGTTTTTTTTTTGTTTGTTTTCTGAGTGAACAGGAGGCTTGTGATTGGGGGTAGGATCTGTACAGTACTGTTAACCAATCTTGTCAAACCCCCCAATGAATCATGTGAGACGGGAAGAGAAGAGGCGACGTCGGGGGCCACTTCCTCATCGTGGTGGACGTGTCTCTGATGACATCATCATGACAGGGTTTGGTTGATTTGCCTCATTGCTCATGAGCAGCACTGGTGCCTCGAATCGGACCTTTACTACGCAGCTGGGGGAGGACGGAGAGAGGAGAGACAAGGTTTGTGGTCAGTTTGGGGGATAAAAGAGTTGTAGAGAGGTTTAAATGTGTTCGCAATAAGCCGTGCACGTGCAAGAACACAAAGAGGGGGAAACATGTCGAGAGTTGTTATCTTTAATCCCACCGGTGCAAACAAAGAAAAGGGTGAAAACAAACTGAAAGTGGGTGAAGAGTTCAGTGAACGAGCTGTAAGAGAACGTTAACATGTGAGAAATGAGAGTCGATGAATAGCAGGCAGAAGGAAAAATGACTCAGAAGCACAACAGAATACGGCTCCATTCTTCATCTGTGGTTAAACAACTGAGGCTCAATGATTTCAGGGATGCACGATATGGATTATTTTTCAGCTGATACGATAACCGATATAATTACCTGCTTCCCACGGCCGATACCGATAAGATAACTGATCATTTTTACACACCTGATAGCAAGAAAGTCTAAGATATAATGAGCAAAGATGGATGATTTAATATTCCATAGCTCTGTTCTATTACATCTAACTGAAGTTCATCAGAAAACCTCACAAAAATACTTTGGCTTTAATATAAAACCTGATATTTCATTATAATATAAAATGATCATTATTGGATTACCTAGAATTATTGTGCATCCCTAATTTTGTTCTTCATAGCTGGCTTAAAGTTTACCCAAATCTTGAGTCGAAACCAGCAAGTGCAGCCTTTATATTGACAGTTTACATAAAAGAAACTGATGAAAAATGACCAAAACACTCACAGTGGTTTCACTCATCAGAAGCTGCAGATTTACTGTTTTACTTTGTTTTCTGTGCGGTAAAATTAGCATCTTTGGGTTTTCTATCTTTTAATATTTAACAGAACAATACTTAAGTTTGCAACAGTATAGGGAAAAGACTTTCCTCAGGAGGTGCCAATAGAAAAATATGAATAAAATTAGGATTTTAGATGAGAAATTCAAATGACCAAGATCTGATTGTGTAATTATCACCATTTATTTTCAAAATAAAGATATGTACCTAAACTCAAATAAAATTAATATATGTAAACAAATAAAATAAATGTCACTTTGTTTGGAGTATTATAAGCTAAAAAGATCCATCCAGCTACATGTTTATGACTCTTCATACGACATTTAGTTACGACATTGTGTGTCTGTATGACATGTACTACAATAAATATTATACACACACAGACTGAAACAATAAAGTCATATTAGTAAAATTATTAGCAACTTAAAGTAAGAATAAGTGTCTTTAATGTTCTTCATGAGTTTCATTAGTTATAATACAATAAAGATGCTTCCTCAGTTTTAAATTACAGTAAATAAAAGTGTCATCTATGCAGCCATATCGCCATATCAACGACTAATGAGTGAAATCAGATGAGCACGAGTGGTGTTAATCAAATGGTTTTGATTCCCTACTCAAAATAACTTCTAGGATAAACAAATTAAGCCAGCCAGCTAAAGTGCTGTAATATTTCAGCCTGGATTAGTTGAACCACAGAAGAAGAAAGGACGCCCATGAGATGAAAACAGAGGAAGATTAGAACGGGACGAAGACACGGGACTGAAAAGAAGCACAAAAGATCTGAAAACAAACGGGTAAAGTTAGACGGCAGCCGGACAGCAGTATTAAGAAAAAGGGTGGAGAATGATCCATGCAGCGCCACCACCTCTCCCTGTGTTGAGACTTACTCAGCCTGCCTCTAGTGTTTGACCTACAGCGACGGGCCTCTACTCGTCTGTCGCAGAGGTCCCTCGCACATCTCCCTTCTGACGCATCTAATGTGACATTCAGGGGGTAAAAAAAGGTTAAAATCGAGAAGGTTACAAGTGTGTTGAGTCGTCTCCAGCAGGCCGGTCAAAAACAGAATGATGATCAATCATTTGTACTTTTATCATTCACAGCAGAAGACTTTACTTCCTGTGTGAGCTCCTCAGATCAGAGAACATCTGGACATTCAGTCACCACATCGGGAAGAAGACAGTACAAGTCTGAGAGGACTGTTATTATAGTATATTTCCTGAGTTAATTACCTCCTCAAGCTCTTTTTGGGTCTCTTCTTCCATCCGCCTGATGTCCTCCATGGTCAAACCCACCCATCTGTCGATCCAGCAGAACAGCTGGCGGTGGAAGTTGGTGAAAATACGCTTTTCTTGCTGTGGAAGGAAGGAAGGAAAGGAGTTAAAGTGAAGTAAAAATCTCTTTTATTCTGCACAACCAATCGGTGGTTTAGAGACATAAACAGGGATCCAACTCTTAACAAATCATTCTGCAGGAGTTGCTCTATAATACAAGAGAGCATGTGTTTACAAATAAGATAAGATGTTCCTTTACTGATCGCCCTTAGGAGAAATTAAGTACTGAAGTGAAAATGGTCATATAAGGGTTAGGGTTGGTCTTTAACAGTAACAGTTCAAATCAAGTAGAATTTATTTTATTTTACAGAAGATTCATCTTACAGAAAGTTAAAGTACACTGTGAATGTATTTATCAACCACAACAACAATGTAAATTTGATAAACCTGCTCTGAAGTTGGCGATCTGAGTGAGGGGCTTCAATACAATGAAACATTTTCCAGGACAACATAAGATTATTTTCAGAATATTTGCTCATTTTAATCAATTTCCAGGTGTTTCCATGACTGGAAAACGAGTGCAGGGCCTGTGGGTAAACCAGGCAGGACTAAAGTGCTGGTGTGTCCTGCCTTTCAGTCCATGTCTCATCTTAAATATTTCACCAGCAGAACACAGAGAATTAGGTAAACTTCAAATATTTTTCTATTTAAATAGTTACACTTGGTAACGATTACTCTGCTATTGTCCTTCTCATCTCTTCCCTGAACTGAACTATGCTTGGGCTCAGTTAATGTTCTCTCTTAGAGCTACGTCTCCCTCTGCTGTTCAAAGCAGAAACATGCACTGGACTGGCATAATAAACAACTCAAGTTCCTCATTACAAACCATAAAAGTACAACATGAAAGATATGAATCGTTACCCTGTGGATGAAATTTTCCACTTTGGTCTGCAGACCCCACCATCTGAACTTGACAGTGACCAGTTTGTATGCACACATGTAAGGACAATCTGACTTCAGCTCGTTCTGTGACGGAAGAAAAGAGGAAGCAAAGACAGTGAACATCGTGATGTTCAACATTTGGTGCATCTGTCTGTGACTATATCAGGTACCTTCCATTCGGGGCCTAGAGGTCCTCTGCCTGTCTTGGCGGAGTGGAAAAGAGCAGGATCTTCTTCTGGCTTATAGTCCTAAAAAGAGAACAATAAAAACTGTAAGATCCTGTTAGAAACAGACTGTACCCGTCGACCACAGCTCACACTTTCACATAGGATTCTTTTATTGTTTGATCGTGTTACCTGGCTGCAGCATACAAAACAAACTGTATTGTTCCATAGAAACAGTAGTGCTCAAAAGCTCCACAGAGTGCCTTTAAAACCCCCTGCAGATATTCTGTTAGATTTGAGGTTTTAATAAAACAAAAACAACAACAACACAATTAGCTAGTTAAAAGTTCTTTGAATTACATCTGCTTTAGTTAAACTGCTGGACACAACATCAGGATTCACACTCTTCTTAGGAAATCATTTTCAGGACTTCTCCAGGACTTTTTCCATTCGTTTTTCTTTGACCACAGAGTTCAACACGATGTTTCTGCTGCATCAAATGGTAAGCAAATGTACCTTTGATCATTAATAACAGGCTGTATGCTTGTAGATGTGACCTTCTGCAGCATTTACAAAACAGATTTGACGCCAAAAGTTTGCTGCAAGCGCTGTGCAATTTAGTGCAATTTATTTCCATGACTGAAAAACTAGTCTTTAAAAATGTCCAGGTTTTCCAGATTTTCCAGGGCGTGTGGGAACCCTGAAGATGTCTTCACTGAAAGGTCCACTCTCAGTGTGTGCGCACTGGAGGTTTCCACATCACAAGAGGTTTGGATGGCAGTCGAGGTCCAGTTATGCAACTAATACAAGAATGATGTCACAAAATGATGTTTGTACTTGAGTTGTGTTAAACTCAGATTTAGGTTGAGCACAGAGAAACTTTCTCTCTGCAAATACATCATCCTACACAGTGAGGTCAAACATGAAGGTCAACAAACAAGAAGAAAACCACATTTTTGTGTCGAGGAGGATTTTATGTGTTGAGAAAATCCTCCTTTTTTATGATAAATATACCTTTTAAAAACTCATTTGATTTCTGGGCAACTGTAGAAACTGTCTCGGGCTGTCGCTGTGATTTAGGGTGGCTCAACAGCGCAGTATATGATATTATGGCCATTTTTGTTAATTACTTTGTAAAGGGTACAGCGGGACAATGTTTAATATCAGTACCCGCTTCTACTAATCACCTCCTCCCTCCTCCTCCTCCCCCTGCCTCCTGGGTCTGAGACTGTAACTGAGGAGGAGGCGACGTGACTTTCTCCTGTGTGGTATTAACTGGTAACGGCGATGCAGAAACATGGCGGTTCAACATGGCGTACTCTGTAGAAGACGACCCGCTCCCTCTGTAGATAAATACAGCTCCTTCTAAGGTAACAAAACACAACAATTCCTATATTCAGGTGATTATACGCTAATGAAAACACAGCTATGAATATTATATTACAGTTCTGCCAGTGGATCTTCCTCGATGTTACACACTGGACCTTTAAGAGAACGGGTTTAAACTAGTCCGTGCTGACTCACTCATACTGAAGCAGTTTAGTCACACTTCACCCTTCCAGCAAGTATTCAGTACTCCTGTACTGGGACACTGAAGAATCAACAACCACAATTATTTTTACTGCACCCGCCGCTGCCGCCCCCCCGCTACCCCCGAGCTCAAGCCTTGCTGTGCTGTTTTAATCCATCGGGTCTGTTGGGAAAGAGTGGTGAATAACTGGAGCAGATGGACATTCAGATTAAGCCTTGGCCTCGGCGCTGATCCACTTAAGTCATTATAGTAGAGGAGCTAGGATAAGAAATTCTGGGACAACTGTGACCCACCTGGATGAAAGTGGCTTAATGCCTCCTTTTAGATGTTAAACCTCGGGGCAACATGATGGTTGAGGTATTACTGACTGACAGGCGCCCACGACGGACTAATAAGAGGTTTTAAAAGACGGCTGAAAGTTTAATTTATCAGTGGCCGTGTGCCATTAAACACAGTATGAGGCCTTTAATGCTCTGTGATAGAATCAAATCCAATTTGAAGTGAAGTCAAATATTGTCAAATAACTGGTGTTTTTCTTGTAGCTTAATAAATGCAGTCCAACTGAATTCTCTTTCCACAATACTCTACAACTCTGCATTGGAAAAAAGCTGAATAGCAAAAACAGATAACATAAAAATAAAGATGCATGTCTTCGAGCTGCTCCATAGGCAGTGAATAAAGAACCAGCTGCTGGGACAGTGTGACAGCAGGAACGGGGATTTTACTGGGATACAGTCACAGCTAGAAAACTGAATGAACACTTTTTTTTGCAAAGCTTTCTGCGACGCATTAGAGACATTCACAGATTCACTGATGTCAATAGATAAATGTCAGCAGATGACAACATTCATTCAAGTCTTAATGGTCTGATTCTCAGCTGAGGGAGGCAGCTGTATGAGGAAGGAGATATGAAGATTTGGGATTTACTGACAGGAAACATGGGGAGACAACAAACACACCCGTGCCGAATCAAATGGTATCCTGTTCAATGTTGGCAGAGAGAAGATTGCAGAGACTCCTGTCGATTTTAAAGCTATTATATGTAACATTTCTACATTAAAATATCAAAAAAAAACCCAAAAAGAAATTTGTAATTTTGTTCCAGTATCGGTGCATTTCCTTTCTTGCCTCTTGTTGCTTTAACTTCTGGGTAAACCCCAGTCTTTGAACGTGAATAAAACTTTAATATTACCTGGTCCTGTTAACAATTTCTGTCTTTTCACAGTTTTTATTAGCAATGGTGATGGTTTAATAACAACAACAACAACTCCCATGATCCCACCATACTTCTATTGTTTTGATGTGAGCACCCCAGCTGCAAAAATTACATACTGTAGCTTTAAGACTGTATTTTTAATAGCCAGCCAAATGTTTGCATGAACAACAATAAGTATAACAATCCTAATCAGTCTGCTGTGGTAATCCACCATTAATGTCCTAGATATGCTCTTACATTCAAAACTACAATCTAATGTAACGGCCAACATAAACCGCCTCATATCTGTCCCCCCGTGGGAGTGTATGTTCTCTGAGTCGGGCTGCGTTCAGACCAACAGCAGCCCTGTGAGGAAATAACGAAGCGCTGTCATTAATCTGAGAGAGGACAGTCTGACGGCGCTCTGGGGGCGCCAACACAGACGGCTCCGGAAAAAAAACTGCTGGATCTGGCCCAGCTTATCGTCCAGCAAGTCAAATCACACATTCCTGGTGGATCGCTTTATAATGTGACCGCCATATTTCTGCTGTTTACCTCGCAAACTTCATTAAGAAAGATAACATAATTACTTAAGTAATAACTTTCTGGAGTTGTAAAACTCAGTGTCAGAGTATTATAAACCGCTGTGCAGTGTTTTTCCCTCTAAGAAGCCTTCAAGTGCATGTCTCTGTTACTCAAACTGGACTTCCTGGATCAAACTTCATATCTCACTTGTGCCTGAAGCAACGCACCCCCTACCAACATAATCCCCTGCAATGTTTTAACTCAGGGCTGATTTCAGTTCCACACAGGGCTCCTCCATCACTGCTGCTACTCTGACAAACTGCTGGAAAGAAGACGGTTTGGGAAGAACACTTGATTTAGTTTAGTTTAAATAAATCAGTGAGGATACATGAGATCAAAGAGCTCTTGTATTTCTCTGCTAAAGCTTCATTCAAATTCTGATTATAAAGCAGTAAAAATCTACTGTTATCAAACTAACACTGAGCTGTTCGTGGTATTGTGGTGTTAATGTATCATCGCTAATAAAAGACAGTGACAAAGGACAATCTGTATGGACCAAAGCCTGCACAGACTTACACTGACACTTATTACTGATCTAAATAACTGACAGCACAATCACAGGTCTGTTTTTGGATGGATTTCCCCTTTAAGAACTTTTTTAGGAGTGACTCTGAACGTACACACAAACTAGTAAATCATTGTGTTGTTTTTCCTAAGAGCACTAACCATTGTTAACATTTGCTCGGAGCTGTTATTGATTATGTGAATTCTTTATAGCACGATGATTCACACAGTTTGTGACTAATAAAGAGTGCTGGAGACTGACTACTGATGTGGGTACAGGCAGTTATAACTATAATTGCAGAGAAAAGAAGAAAGAATGCTTTTTACTCAACTGCAAGTCATTATAGACAGAGACAGTTTGACCATTGTGAGTAACAATACAAACAGTTCTTCCTCAATCTAAACATTAATTGAGCAGCCCCTCCGTCTTCATCTTTAGCTTGTTATTGTAATTTAAGTATTTTATAAAGTTCACTGAGGCTTTATGTATACTGGCCATGATAACTGTAGACAAATGAAGTTGATGAGTGGTTGCATGGCCATCCCGGCTCCTCTGCTACATTCAGTCAACCTGTATGACCACACTCTTCCTCAGGGTGGAGACATCCTGCTGTAAATCAGAGTTACCAACCCCAGCTCACCAGGCTGTGTGCTGTCTGATCACAGCCAATCCACTCAAAATATTTCTATATCTTCCTTGGTGGTGGTTTGTTAAAGCCCTTAGAACGGTTTAAAAACTCACCCCAGTGGCCACTTCTTCTTTGTTTGCAATATCTATGGGAGCCACCTCCACAGTCCTCCACGTCTGCTCGTCCAGGTCATGGACCTGAGACACAGAAGGAGAAAGACAAGCAAGTAAACTTCAGCTCAGTGCACGCGACACTGGGGACACTTTGTTTTTTATTCAAATCTGTAGAGTATAAATCAAATGAGATTCAAATTCAAAACCACACAGATGTGTTCTACCTTTTTCTCCTGCGTGTGTGTGTCAAACTATTCAGCCCAATAGGCAGCATAAGATAATAATAATAATAATAATAATAATAATAATAATAATAATAATAATAATAATAATGATAATCATCTTTATTAAAATGGGTGTTTTTTCTACATATAGTGAGTTTTTTAAAGCCCTGCTTGGGCTTCGAGAGTTTAGCTTTATAACAGAAAAGCCTACACTATAAATAGGGGGTGTATAGTTTGAAAGGGGCATTTATCAGGCAGGGAGGGTCTAATGAAAGATGTTCTCACATTGCATTATGGGTAGTGTAGGATACATATTGATATTAGGGTCTCAGAGTCTGGATATCTGCTTCAATTTACTTACATTTTCTACTGTTCCCATGTCAGGTTTGTGCCACGTCTCGATCTTAATCATAAAGTCGTCCTTCATGTACTCGTTCTAAAAATCAGATGAAAAGAAACAGTTTCACCGGGGGGATAATGAATATTTGACCTTTGGTTTTTAAAAAGGGATTAAACTCTATTTGGAGCCATTACTTAGAAATCAGGCACCGCTGCTAAACTGAAAGAGGTGCATTTGAATCTCAGCCAGCACAAACGGTACAAGGAACGCCATGAATGGAGGATTCTGAGAGATGTACTTAAACCCTACAGCTAAATCCCATTAACTCATCAGACAATTAGACTGAAACATCACTAGAGATGCTGCTCGGCTCGGCTCAGATCTATTTCTAACCCTCACAGCAGTGGCTCGCTTGCAGGTAATGTACAGCAATATTAGGCGGTGAAAACACGCACCGCACCACCACACAGACATTGGGATCAAATACTTGTGTTAGCCTGCTGCAAACATCCAGTAATATGTGTGTATAGTGGTCATAAATCTCAACATTAAGGCCCAACCACAGCAGCATTTAAAACAGCTAAATATCACAGAAAGAAATCAGTTGATTTCACTGGAAACACAGTGATCAGTGGGCGAAACAAATCTGCGCAAACCTTTTGCATCAAATTCAAATCTGTTGAACTTTTACATGCATATTTGCACCAAAGGCAAGCCATCTCGCCGGTGCTGACCTGTGAGGGAAAGGGGAGCCGGGGAGGGAAATATGCAGGAAGCTAGCGTAGCTAACTAGCTGAGTTGCAGCATTGACTTTTATTTAACCTCCTGTGTTGTGTGGGGGTATAAACTGCTCCACACAAGAGGAACGGTTTGCAGACAGTTGTGTGACAGGACTCGATGGCACAAATGTGTCCCTTGAAGACCGTTAATAACTCTTTATTGAATGAAATGATCCGGGGGACAGAACCCCGAGGGGTAGTAAAGCTAGCGCAAAGGTCAGCCATCTTTATGATCCAAAGAGACATTTAAAAATCTGTCTGGAGCCAAAAACATGTTTGAGCCATATAATGCGTAACAGGAAGCCAGCAGCATCGGTGGTGACAAACAAATCTGTCCACGCACTATTAAATTCTCCATTTTCCTCCCAGACTCTTTATAGATTTGGAATTAATAGCTAGCTGGGGAGACTGAGGACTAGCAGCCACCGCTATTGAGGTTCAGTATAATATAGAGGAAAAGACACCACGTCGGGAGGCACGCCGCTGCAGAGGGGCTGAAGAGCCACAGGTTGTCAACCCCTGGATTAGTGATAGCATGTTTCAAGGCTGGCTAGCACATAAGCCGTTAGCCCTGTGAGGAGTCACTATGTCACCAAGCTTCAAGAACCAAATACTGGGCGAAGAAGATGCGGTTGAATTTTGCTGTTTCACTTTCTTTAGGCCTTAAAAAGAGTTAAAAAGTTTGACAAACAACTCACCGTCACAACTGCAGAGGAAGGAAGGAAGGAAAGAAGGAAGGAAGGAAAAAGGAAACAAAAGAAATAGTTAGCTTCAGTATCAAAAATCAGGTCGACATTTATTATCTTTGAAAAACTGAACACAAAGTACGTATAGAAAAATACTGTATACGTCCATAAAATGTCCATTTATGTGAGGCTTTGATTACAAGCACACTGCAGTGAAAAGGCACCGAGTATGAACCGATTTACTCTTCGGTGTGAACTTACTAGTGCGACAGTATGGGTAGGCGTTCCAAGCCTTTTCGTGAAAAACTAATGCTCCCTCTGGTGCAATCATCTTCACATAACCTGGGACTTTACTGCAGAGGGAGAAAAAGAAAACAGACAATCAACTTCATGGTCCGAGTGGAGTAAAACATCCCTAGGTCTGGAGCAGAATGTGTAATTAAAACCTCAAATAAGCCCATTTTGTCTCGCCTTAAAGAGCCTCCTCGGGCTGAATTATAACCTTTTTATCAATTCTAGTACTTGTAATGAATTGTTTTTTTGTTGTTGGTTGCACTCGGCCAAAAGTCTAACACCTATTTCCTTCAATATCAAAGAACCAGTCACACAATATACATGTACAGAGGGCGGACAAAATAAGAGGAAACACCTGACAAAGAAGTGGATGACGCTTTGTCTTCAGAACAGCTTCAGATCTTCTTGTAGTTCTACATAGAAATTCAGTTTTTTTTTAGGTGGGATATGAAACATTTGATTAAGGAGGAAGGCTTCAAGTTATCTGAGAACGATGGTGGAGAGAATCTACTGTCTTCCCATAATGACGTGTGCTATCTCGGGACTGCTGAGGCCCGGAAAGGTCGTGAAGCTACTCTTGAATCTGTTTGGCAGTGTGTGCGGAGATCCTGAAATATGGAGAACATCACGCATTAATGGTGTTTGTCCTGCAAGTCAAAGCTGGTTCAGTTAAAATGGCTGCTTATTTTGGCTGTTGTACAACCACGCAGAGTAGTCATAAACACCTAATGTCTCCCGTCAGATCACTGCCAACACATTTCTGCCATCAGATTTAACAGCTGGCAACGAGGATGGTCTGTTAACGTTTTCCTGCGATCCAAACAAACACGACCAGATGGAGGCTAAAAAGTCAGATCGTGTTCCAGTTGCCAGCGCTCCGGCTTTTATGTGCCTTACTTCGGTTACTTGTTCGGGGCGTTGGCCAAAAGGTGATCACAATGCAATAAATGCCACCTCTGTGGGGTTGTCATTTATAAATAATAACTATTAAGTATCAGTTTTATGCATTTAAGGCTGTCACAAAGGAGTTTCCTCCGTTCTCTGGTATAAACTGAGGCTGCAGATGTTCACCTGTCTCTCCACTGGTTGTAAAGCTTGCAGTATCCAGGCTAAGTTATCACTGTATGTGTGAGTGTAAGTCAAAGGTTCTCTTTTTACTGGAGGATGATATTAAACACAGTGTTCATGAGACACATGAACTGGTATGTTACAGTCATTTTAAACATCTTTTCAGCAGCTACGGTTGTCATTAAACTGCTTACAAACATCTCAAAACAGGCAGAATGACATCAACAACCTGTTAGTTATGATCAATCAGTGCTAAAGACAAGTGAAAACACATAAAATAATACATAATTTACTAAAACAAAGCAGGGCTTATAGCCTATATGAGTGATCTGATATTAATATTTTCAGGGATTTAGAGAGTGAATAAAACCCCACTATTGATCTGTATCTAGAATTAAATGAAAGGATTCTGTCTTTAGAATTTACTCTTCTTTATTCTGGTGACAGCAACAGCTTGTTGCGTGTATCTCCGTTATTAATTATTCATGACAATTTCGCAGCGCTCCAAAATACACAATGGTTCAGTGCAGCATTTTTCAATATGACTGTCACTAAGTCAGCTCTTCTCAGCATTATTTCCTCCAAGTCTGAAGTTGAGCCATTATTGCTTGTTCACACGGTATTATTTATTCACTATAATGGTTCGCTTTCAGGAGAAATTGGAAACTATTCAGGACAACTGCTCGTAATTCGGTCAAAGCTGGTCACCCTAGGTGGTTCCATTATTTTGCCCACCCTATGTAGATATAAAGTCACAACCTTCCTCCTCTTATACACAACCTTAGAGTATATTAAAAGCACAGTTAATGCCAAGACTTGCCTCTTTAGATGGTATATTTTATGTGTGTATTGTCCCTTCTCCCCATCCTTCTCGTAAGGTTCGTTCTTGAGCACCTCGATGCCTTCTCCTCCTCCTGTCTCATTCTTGCTGGCCTCAGCCACAGAGTACAGCTGCCCTACTTGATACTGAGAAATGGGAAGAGAGCGAAGACACAGAGTGAATACGACACCTAAAACTACAGGGACAGATCCTGTGATTATTTGCTAGAATAGGCGAAGACTGGGCAGCTCCCCGAAGCAAAGGCAGGTGCTTCAACGATGTAGTACCACTAACAGACACTGGGTGCTACACAGAAAAGCCCAGACGTCTCTCTTTAAATGCATCTTACACAGTATGGTATCTATATATGAGGTTCTAAAAGAGGTTGTGTGCTTTAATGTTCATTAACAGGAGTCTTTGCTGATGTATTAAGTGATCTTTTAACTCAAATAAAGGCTTTAAAATATCCTTTTACCAACCTGTGGCTGAGCTCACAAAAAGCAACATCCATGTTTTACTACAGTCAGGAATAACATCCTAAATACATTATTAAAGTAAGTGTATTCTGCCTCCGAGTCATATGTTTTAATGTGGAATATTAGTGGCTTTTTCCAGGATGTTGCTGCTGATACAATTATTGTGAAGAAATACCAAAACTAGCAACACCCTGGCCATTTATATCTCATAAAAGCTAAATGCTCTACCTGCCAGCCACAGTGTTTTCCCCCTGCTAGAAAAGGCTATGAAATAGGGCCAATGTATGATGTCAGTGAATATCACAATGCAGTCTGAGCTCACTAAAACAAAAGTTGTCTATTTTTTTGGGTAGATAGAGCACAAATTAAACCGCACACAAAAAAATGTGATTTCTTTCAAGATGACAAAGAGATTGCAGTTTTTAAAAAGGCTGAGCTCACAGCCCAGTCCTCTCTGCAAACACCACCACCAGCCTGTCACACCAATACCAGCGCTCGCTAACAAAGGCTATTCTGTCTTAGTACGTGTCCCAGACCAAAGAGTGGAGGAGCATTGTGTGTACAGGAGAAGATAAACACAACATGCTGAAGCTGTAATATAAATTACAACACTTTAGGAAGGCTGCTTTTAAAAGAATCGTGTAATGTAAGTGAGGGCGCGGAGATAATGATACTCACCTCTTCCACAGAGACTGGCAACACTACACGGCTGAGAAAGAAGAAACAGGGGATAGGTGGGGCAGGAAATGGGAGAGAAAAAACAGATAAGTTGAACACATCTGTATACAAATGTTAAAGATTTCCCTTTTTTACACTTAAATATCCTTGGGATTTTGCACAGACTAAGCTTTTTCTCTGTATTAATATTACGACAAATGCTTGGAGCACTTAAAAACATCACAGTCTTTGTGATGATGAGGTACCGAGTGACCTAACAAAGATGGCAAAGCATGAAGTTGTGGATAAACTTTACTCTGACCATCTTTGGGGAAAAAATGAAGTGGCCCTGTGCTAAAAGAGGACAAAGTGTCTCCCAGTCTGAATATAAAAAACTCCAGCTCCCCAAAAGTATGTCATTTGGACATGGTTGCAGCTGACTTTGTGTTTATTACAAGTTTCCTAAACAATGACATTATCTGTATTAATTACAAAAAGAGTTATTTCAGATAATTATTAAGGTTTTTAATTAACATGTAACAATCCAGCCATCTAAAAAGTTCAATAATCCATGTATTTATTTAGTTTTGGTCGGTCACTATGTAGTTCACATTGTCCAGTTATGTGACAACCAGGAAAGGAAAAATTGGTATTTTTCAATCCAGTAAAATAACTTTTACAATAGTCCAACTTATGTAATGAAAATACAGTTCAAACTGTAGAGCAGCAGCTCAAACCGCAGTGCAACCAGAGCTTAATGCACTGCCAATGTATGGAGACGACAGCTCAATTATGCAATGAAGGAATCCACTGAACAGACACAGTAAAAAAAATGACTTTCTTCCCTGTAGCTTCCTGCCCTCTCAGGCGCCTCCTCCTCCTCCTCCTCCTCCTCTCACAGTTCATGCCCAGATTGGCAGATTCAGCACCCCACCCTTAACCTAAACATGAACTGATTGATGAAGCTTGCAGGGGGGGCAGGGGGTGCACGGGCTGGGAACACGCAGCCTGACAGTTCCTTAAGAGTCTATAATGTAAACAACTGGAAAGCCAGCATTATGCAATCTATTTATAGCCAAGAGAATTAAGAGAAAAACAGAGAGGATCTTATAGGTGAAGGTATAACGGTACTGTAAAAGACTTTTTGGGAACTTTATTCACTGTTTGGTTATGTTTCCCTGACAATGTCCAATGTCTGCAGCTTATTAATTGTTAGGATTTTCTGCATTTCTATTTCATTATGAGCTGAATATATCTTTCAGATTTGGGCCGTCTGTCGGACCAAACAAGGAAGAGAAAGCAGAGATAAAATAACAGGCAGATAAACAACACTGATACTGTTGTTACTCGTGCCAAAAATACATCCTCAACATCTGCATCTCCCAGCTCATAGACGGTATTCACCAGCTTTTGTTTTTCCACATTTTACCAAAAAGCATTGATCAATCAGGCCCAGTGGCGGGTTTAATCCTGTACTTTCCCTCCAACTCTTATCTCAATCTTACATTGGCTGTCAGCACAAGGTGAGAAATGAATCAATAAAACCACCAATAGTAAGATAGATTTGCTTCTATGCTTTTCCTGTGATATTCACTATCATTTTCTATTAAGTGTAGCAGCTTCAGTTTCATTTTACTGGAAAACAACAAGGCTTAGTAATCAAAAACCATTTGATTTTTTTGCTTCTACAAGAGATCAAACGTGACCATGACAAACTGCGATGTCCTCAAACCCCCCCCCAAACTGCTGACATGACACCAAAGAGGATCCAGTTCTCTTCAGCTTACAACCTGGTGTGTTAATGATTAATCAGTTACTGATTATTCGCTGTAAAGAAACTGATCGTGTTGTGCTAGGAGAACGGCCCCATGTCGATTGTTTAACCATCGAGGTAAAACATGCGTAACATAACGTGGCCAGAGATTGCTGCCAATATGCATCCTTAGTATTCAGTATCATGCATTCACCCAAATGAACTGACACTCGCCGACAGTCACTTTGTGGTACAGAGCAGGAACAGTGGCTGGAGCACAGAGGAGGTCTGCACTGGAAGTAGCTTTGTTGGATTATACAGCTCAAAACTTAAACAGTTTGACAAAAGCTGACCAGTCGCCGTTCGAGTGGTCCTTGTAGTCCAGGTAACCTGTAGTTACATAAGATCCTGTGTAAGCCCTTTATGGGCCTTTGCAGACCACAGACACCTGCAGCACAGGTACCGCGATACTTACACACACAGGGTCGAATCAGCCGGTTAAAAAAAAGGTTTGAATATTGAACTGCTTGGCTGATTCCTCTGTGCTACTTACAGAACTACGACCCCCAACTATTTCATTAATCTAGAGCCGTGCTGGATGACAGGGTGATTTGCTAAGCTCCTGGAAGCTTCACTGAGTCCAAAGTGGTCGAGGAGATCGCTTTAAGTGTGCAGGAGATGTTCTATCAATTAATCTAGAGGGGAAATTGATTAGTCTATTGACAGAAAATTAAGCATCTACTATTTTGGTAATTGGTTTATCGGTTAAAGTTATTTGTCAGGTAGAAATGTGATGATTTGCTTAATTCTGTGGCCATTAATGACACTAATTTTATTCCAACAAATCTCTAATGGATATTTTATAGATTCTACTTATTTATAATATTTTTTTAAAAAGAGTTAGCTGGAACCCTAAAGTAGCAAAGAGATCACTTGATTACAAACATACCATCACTTGCAGACCTTATGCACCACCATCTATACCTCAATGACCAAAGTTGAATTTCACAACAGTGATAACAACTCTTACATAGTTATGTAAGTGGTGCCGTGTTCAAAATGGCCATCTGGCACATATGTCAAACATTATATTACTTATTATAAAATATATGTAAAAGGCCAGGTTTGCACAAGCAATCACATTTAATTTAGAGTTGAATTGAACTGATTTAAAAAGCCTAAAAGACACTGAACAGGATCAGAAATGACCATGAAGTTGAATCAATACCTGGCAGTAAACAAAAACAAACATTTAACTTTCCCAAACATACTTTTCATATAGTAGCGTTCTCGTGTCCGGGCGAGTAATGTAAGGCGCCGAGACAGTTTATAGATACAGCCAATGTAATCCTGCTGCATCATTAATAACACAACCACACACACACACACACACACACACAACCGTGCAGTATGACAGAGCTCCCAGACGCCTCAGATTATTTACTTCTATGTGTGTGTAGTAAGAAAACGAACGAATGCAATCTTCTCTTCATGAGCTCCTCGACATATAGGGAAACCCTGAAAACTGATCAACCAAATGTTCTCTCTACTTCTGTGTATGATAAGCTCCTTTCAAACATGTTATGACATGTTTTGATTGTTTGCTTATTGATTATACTGCAAGCAAAGACAGATTATGTGTTTTTCCATAGTGAGACACTAGATTAGGAAGCAGTATGAGGGCATATTATTTATCTAACTAACTTTATATCCTCTGGCCAATATCATATTCATTATTTAACGTAATTAATCTGGTTTTTACTTCTTACTACACAGTTATATAACCGTCTCTGGTGTCAGATACTAAACACTCTAGCACCGTGTGAGTACAAGTGTTATAATATAATAATTTATCATTATAATAAACAGTGTCTGTTACAGACATACTGTCTGTCTGTGTGTCTTAGAAAGCACACACACACACATTGAACTCAGAGCTCCATCTGTTGTCTGTGATATAAGTTAGCACTAATGCTGAGTGTACACAGGGGGGACACGGGGGTTAGGTGTGTGTGTGTGTGTGTGTGTGTGTGTGTGTGTGTGTGTGTGTCCCATGGCTACAACAGGTACCGTTATCTGGAGCGGGTTATAGGTTAGCCACACAGTTAACAAGGTAGCTTTGCTGACACACAAAAAAATAAAAAGTGGACCAAAGCGACCACCGTACATCTCCAATAACAACAGATATTAAAGTGTGTGTGTGTGTGTGGGGGGGGTACTCTGTTAGCCGCCCAGTTAAAGGGCTAAAAGCTAGCGCCAACAAAGTAACAGCAAAGTAACCTCACGCTAGCTCGAAGGGTACCACTGCTAACATGCTAAAGGGCCAACATCTCCGTTCCCGCGGCGGGCTGAGTCTCAACCACACCGGCAGTCAGCTAATAGATAGATTGTGTGCTAATTAACTCCCTTACCTTACCTCCCCCCCCCTACCACCTCCCCCACCTCCTCACCCACCTCCTCTCCCTACGGAGATTGTCACGCTAGCAGCTAGCCGGCTGAGTTAGCCCAGCTAGCATTAATGGTAAATCCGACGGAGCAGAAAACCTTAATCTGTCACTCAAAGCTTCACACTACGGCTCTATACTGACACAGCACAGTGTTAGTGGCATACCCCCTCCCCTTTAAAGTCCTGTTAACTGACTGAGAGTGCGGACTGTTTTGTGTGTGTTTCCCTTTTTATGTAACTCATTTTCATTAAGAAGCTAATTATCCCCCCGCTCGGCTGCTAGCGTTAGCTCTGCGCTAGCAACGCCTAAAAGAGACCGGTGCGTCCCGTTATCCACGTCCCGATCCACCCCGCTCAAAGCGGGCGTTTTACGGGCTACACGGCGGTGAAATCCAGCGAGCGACAGCACTAAACGACACACGCGTGTTTACTCATCAGTATTGAGCTCTCAGTTGGATTAAAACGCCGCTCTGGATACGCGAAAAGACATTTTTTAAAAACACTTCAGACTCACTATTCCTTGATGAGCACCATCTTCGTCACCCGGGCTGCGCCTGCGCACTGAGAGGCGACGCCAGATAGAATTATCAACAAGTTCGTTCCGCCCTCCAGAATAAATCTGATTGGCTGAAGGATCGATACGTTCTTCCTTACAGTGTGCCGTACTGTATTGTGTGATTGGCAGATTAGTTATATAATAATATAATATAATAAAATAATTGTTATGTATTCAGTAAGAAAGAAAAGAGATTATAATTCACTTCCATTCAATATTTGTGAATCTAAACTGGAGTTGTGGAAAAGATTCAGAGAAATGTTTAGGTAATATATATATATATATATATATATATATATATATAAGAATATGTTGCACTGCTAAACTGCACATTCTGCACACACTTTGGCACATTCCTGCAAACTGTACAACTCTTCATTCATTTATTTAAATAACAGTTATATTTGTACATATTGTCTCTCTTTTTATATTTGTACACATTGTCTCTTTTTATTGTCTCTATTTTCATCATTATTTATATTTCTTTAGTGATTTGATTGTATTGTTTTGGCAAAGTAAATATTTTCACAATTTCCCCCAAATTTCAGAGCTTTTATGTCAGAATTATTTAATGACAAGGATTCACTGAAAGCAGCAACGGGTGTGGGAAAGACATGGAAATCTCTTGTTTGTCGCTTGTCATGTTTTTGCTCTCATTTTGTTGCATTCATCGTGTCTATTCTGCATCTCCCCTATACCTTTTGTTCAAGCTGTGGCACCTGATTGTTTAAAAATGCGTTTTTTTTAACAGATTAAAAGCCCAGTGTCGCCCATCATTAAATCAAATAATATTGTACATCATGAAAATGACTTTCGATATATATATCATGAGTAGAGTAAGTGGCGCCTGTCAGTTTTATATGATTGGGTCATTGTTACTGATGCATTAACATGTAAGTGGCACTTAAATGTTGTAGCTGGTTCGAGGTGGAGCTAATTTTAACTGCTTCATATCCCGTTTGGTAGTTTAATCTATGCATCATACTTTATAAATCAGAATTTATATAGTAAGTGGAGCAATTCAATCTATGCAGTGGAGTAAATTGAGTATAAAGTAGCAGAAAATAGAAATTCTCCGGTAATGTACAAGTACCTCATGATTGCTCTTAAGTACAGTGTTTAGTGAATGCTTTCAGTCACTTTACGTCACTCGATTAGAGCGAGTTTTTGAAGGATTGAGATCAACAATCCTCCTTCTGAAATCTGAGATTTACAGATTCATGTTTACTATAAGATCAGGCACAGAATTATTCCCTCTAGAATTGATTTCCGTCACAAAAGCAAGACAAGAAAAGGAACATTTTTAATTTTCAGCTTCTTGAGAATTGAGATATCTCTGATTTGGAGTCTGGCACTGCTGCAAAACTGTACATTATAAAGTCACTAACACACGGACGCACACAGCAAGAGGAAACCGTGCTGACCATCACACATAAACTCAAATCTCCGTAAAAAATATCAAAATGTTTTCTTTTAACTTCTTCCTCGGTTTAATTGTCTTTATAAAATGTATAATAATGACTGGAAAACACAGTTTACTTTACAAAATAAATGACAACAGTAAGCATTGATAATGACATTTAACAATAATTAATACGCAATAAATCCAAATCAAATTCAGGTCAACTTACACAAATATAGCGAGCATTTGGGTCGACACAAAATGTTCTCCTTTTCTCAGGCATTCAGTCAGCAGACTGTAAGTACAGTACATGGAGGCATTGAGACACATGCTCTCTAGTCAGTCATAAAAACACAATTAAAGCCAAAGACTCGACACTTCTCTTAGAGTCATTTTGTCCTTCCAGCTCTGTCCAGAAGAAGGCACAGTCATCACATTCAAAACATTAACATCCCTTCACAAAAAAAAGACATGTGAAATCACTGTCAGTATCAAACAGTACTGTTTTCATCCTTGTCTTCAGCAGGTATTGCTAAAAATGTGGTATTTAGCTGACAAATGGACAGCTTCTGTCATAGTACAAACACCAAAAAACGGGACAGACGACAGGTCCTCTGGCTCTGGGCTCAGCATGGCAAATGTCCCAAATTCTCAACATTTAGACGACGGAAAAAAATGTCCAGGTGAGAGAAACTTGTAGCCATTCCCAGAAGGAAGTTTGATGCCTCCTTTAGAAGAGGGAGGCGGAGGTGGTTTCGCCTCCAGTTTTTGGTGACCATTCGGTCTATCGCCAGTGTTGTGCTCCGCAGGTCCCTCTACATTTTTGCTGACAGACTCATGTCTAGGTGAGAGATTAAGCAAACCCAAAACATCTTTCTGAACTGTACTCATTTTCTTGTTCCCCCCTCGGAGTAAACTGGCAGGAGAGGGCACCTCGTGTTTCTGGCCAGCGTTGGCCCAGAAGGTTTTTAAATTATGAATTGCCTGCACTTTATTATCCTGTTTTGACTGGTTCAGTTCGGGGGTGTTTGCAGGGCTGGAGCAGGCTGAAACGGATCCTGTGGAGGAATAGGAAAGAGCAGGCGATGGGGCGCTGTCAGCAGGAGAGTGGGATGGTGAGATGTGGGCGGTGTAAGGTGAGGTAGGGTATTTCAGTTTAAGCTGAGCCTGCGAATGCACATCTGGGGAAACTGTGGGGAAAGGCTGCTCTTTCACAGAGAGAGATAAAGAGGGAGAGGAATGAGCTGGGCTGTTGTAGCCGGAGCTGACTTTCTGCAGCGACGAGGAGCGGGATGGAGGTTTAGGCCGAGTCGGTGGAGGTGTTGAAACAGAGGTGGAGGGGGAGGGAAGATGACTGGAGAGGGAAAGAGGAGAGGAGCTAGCTTTTAGACTCGCTCTACTGGGTGGTCTGCTAAACGCACTGGTCTCAGAGGGCTGAAACCCTCGTGCACCTCCAGAGGGAGTCATAGTTGGGGTTGTGGGAGTAGACAGAGAAGGCTGCCTGGCATGTGCCTCTTCTCTCCCCTCAGGCCCCCGCAGTGTCTTTCCTCTAATGTTTGCTTTCTGCAGACTCTCCACAGCTTGCATGTGGCTCTGGGTTTCTTCCAGAATCTTCTGGGCCAGTTCCTGGGGATCCAGTTGTCCTGCAGGCACCGTCCTCTCCTCCTGGGACTTGACCGTGCTGTCTGTCTCTGTACTCGACTGGTCCGACTCAGAGCTGCTAACCTTCCCTTTCCCAGTCCTCTGAGGAGATGAGCTGGAAAAAATAAAAAAACAGCTAAATTTACAGTTATATTGAAATGAGCCCTTCTGAGACTATAAATGCTATGTCATGTAGCTTTTGTAACGGTTACATTACCACTTGATTAACTGTAGAAAATATCAGAAAAGCCAAAAGATACATAACTGGGAGGATGGTGAGTTATTTCAGATGTCCAAAATAAAAGTCCTGCATGTTTTTTGTCTAAAAAGTTGGAGAACATTAGTGCTTAAATGGACATGAAGTTCTCACCGTGGAGAGTGGAAACATTTACCGGTTCAGCTCTACTTGTTTCTAATGCAAATCACCTTGTTTCAGGTTTCATTTAGTAAAATCAGTCTTGTTTCTAGTGCAGTGACTTGCTTTGTTCTTTCTTGTTTTCAGATACAGACAGAATCACTTCTGGAACATTATAACTCATTGCAGAGAAGTCGAAAAGAACTCATTTGTTTTATAAAAAAAAAAAGATTTTTAGGACTTCTATATACAAAAAAGAGCGTAATTTCTTAACAAATTATAGTGTGATTGTTAAAAAGCTGCATTGCTGGATGGACAGGTCAGAGCTAAACTGCACTGCTGGCTTAAAGGACAAGTGTGTAGGATTTATAGGCATTTAGCAGTAAAGTTTCTAAGTGTAACTAACTGAGGTCTGTATTTTACAACCTGGGAATGAAAACATACCTATGAATATTATATTCCATTTCTACCAATAGATCTTCCTAATACAGCGTATGCAAGGAAAGGGTTTGAAATGAAATGACCCTCAAGTAAATCCATCCATCTGAATGGAGGACAATTCCCCTAAAAACACAACATATTTCAGAAAGAAGACAGATACAAACAGTGAAAATGATTCCAATAATGTCCTCAACAAAACAGAAGTTTCAATGAAGTTTCTGTGTTGAAGAACTCATGAGCCAAAAACCAAAAAGAATTGCTGTTGCTCAGCAACTCCACCAATTATCCAGGAGTTTCCATCACAACAAGATTTAGTGCCAGTTCATCTAGTAGTTGTTGAGATATTTCAGTCTGGAACAACACGGTGGACAGGCTGATACTGCCGTCCCTAGAGACGCTAACGTGGCTAATGAGACTGCATCATTCACTCTGACTCAACCAATAAGACTGAACTTACATTTCCGGCTTGGGTTTGGGACTGGCAGGAACTTTCAGGGGCAGCGGCGGAGCTTTAATTGGGGATGTAGGTGTGCTGATGCTTCCCTTGGAGGAAACTGTAACGGGGTACCCATGACCCCCGGCGGACCCTCTCCCAGCACCGCCTCTGCCGTGTCTGTGTCCCGCAGGGAGCGGCAGTGTGTCACATTCCCTCCTCCCTCGCCCCAACGGCTCACTGCTTATAATGGAGTACCCCTCATACTCCTCTTCCTCCCCTTCCCCTCCTAACGCTCCTCCGTGATTGGTCAGTCGACCTCTCGACAGGGCGCCTGTGTGGCGGTGCGAGGCGTACCCTCCCCCGCGAGGTCTCTCTAGGTCCTGCTGGTGGGAGCGCTGACTGATGATGTCACTTCCTGCGGGCTCAGGTCGGGACAGGAAACTGAGGGAGGAGGCGAGGGAGCTGAGGCTGTAGACGGAGATGGCGTCGCAGGAGAGGTTGTCGGGGCAGACGGGGGGTAAGAACGAGGGCTGAGGCGGGTAGCAGCCAAAGGAGAGGGGTAAAGAGTGCGGCTGGGAGGCCGACTGGGAGGACGACAGCGACTCAAGGGAGGAGGAACTGTCCATGCTCAGCCGCTTGGGAAGCTCTGTGGAGTCTAAAAACAGAGAGGGAAGGACTTCAGGTATTATGTTGGAAGAGAGGAAAAAGATTTAGTAGAATTTAGTCATGAATTATTCTCACCAAAGAGTGCGAGAAGAGAC